GAGACAATATTTGTTAAGTACTTCACATATTGTTTGGCACATAGTAGGTGCTATATAAATGCTAGCTATTATTATTATTGTGGCAGCTAGGTGGTACAGTGGATAGAGCACTGCACTGAGAGTCAGGAAGAATCTTCCTGATTTTAAATCCAATCTCTCAGACACTTACTAGCTGTGAGGCCCTGGGCAAGTCACTTAACCCTGTTTGCTTCTGTTTTTCATCTGTAAAATGAGCTGGAGAAGGAAATGGCAAACCAGTGCAGTGTCTTTATCAAAAAAATCCCAAATGGGGTCACAAAGAGTTGCACATGACTAAAATGAATGAACAACAAAAATTATTGTTATTACATAACTATCATGAGCAAACCAAGCCAGAACTCAAAGCTAGGTTGGTATGGTCGCTTTGGTGACTTCAGGGTATGGTTGATGGAATCACCAATCATCTAATGTTTATGTTAATATTTCTCTGAGGTCTAATATGACTCACTTATATCACATCCCTTCAAATACTTTAAAAAAAAAACCAGTTCACTTTGTCCTACATTTTCTCTTCTCCAGGCTAAATATAAAGAGTTGTGTTTTTTTTAACCATTCTTCATATGGCATGACCTCAAGATCCTTCCCCATCCTCAGTCTCTTTCCTCTGGATGATCTCAATTCATATTGTCCTTCCTAAAATGCGGTGCCCAGAACTGAACACAACATTGTAAACATGTTCCAACCAAAGCAGAGGAGAGCAGAACTCTTAACTCCCTCATTTTGAATGCCCTACTTTTTGGCAATGGAAGCCTAAGGTTTCTATCCATCTGAGCCTCATCCCTCCTCCCTTCCCCAGCAGGGAGAAGAAGTAGATTTGTGTCTAACTTACTGAGGAATTAAAAACTTCAGATGAGACTACCTTCATAAGAAGCATCAGTCTATGCATGGACAATTCTTCACAAATATCAGCCATAGCCTGGGGCCTGCACTCTTGTTTTGGGAGTGTGTCAACACATGGATTTGTGCATTCACTTGGAATTGCTTAGCCAGAAAATATCATTTTCATTTTTGATGGTGTTTATATCCAAGGACTAAGTTTGTTAATGTTACAGAGAAGCATATGCTAAATTGCAGGCATTGACTACCAGCTGCAGTTCAGAAAGCAATGACATAGGACTTCTTTATTAACTTTACTGTTAAATGAACATAGAAGTGAAACAATAAACTTTTTCTGACAGTAATATCAATAAGACATCTGTGCAAAAGAAAGTGGAATATAACATTCAGTGGAGGAAATGCCTCAGAGAAGACACATTCAGTTTGTAGGAAACAGAAAGTAGATTCTCAGAATCTCAGAACTTTAGAACTGGGACGGGCCCGAGAATAAAGAGCACAGAATGTCTGAGCTAGGAAGGTCCTTAGTACCCAGAAGTCAGAATGTCCAGAACCTTAGACTCAAGAAAATCTGAGCTTGAAGGGACCTTAAAGGGACTTTAGAATATGGAGCATAGAATGTTGGCACAAAAAGGGACCTTAGAACATGGAGCATAGAATGGTGGCACAAAAAGGGACCTTAGAACATAGAGCACAGAATGTGAGCACAAAAAAGGACTTTAGAACATAAACATCCATTCTAGAAGAACATAAGGCAAAGAGCCACATAATATAAGCTCCAGGGAAAGGATGGGTTTGTTTGTTTTTTGGCATTGTATCCTCAATGGCAAAGTAGTGTCAAGAGCATATCACATATTTTTTTTAAATGATTGTAGAATTCAATTGAATTGAATCAGAGTTAGAAGGGACCTTAGAATAGAGAATACAGAATGCCTGAGCAGGAAGAGACCATCCAGTCCAAGTCTCCTTTTCATAGAGGACTGAGGCCTAGATGGCCTTGTACACAGCAGAATCTGGACCAGAACCAACTCCAACTCGGGGTAGGCAAGCCAGCCTAGCTGAAGTAGCAAGGCAACCTGAGGAAGAGACAGAAGTCAACACATGCCAGGCAAATCAAACCACCACTACCTTGGCCACCATTTCCCCTCAGTATTTTGAACCCAAGAGCCTTGGGAACAGCAATGTTTCCAGCCCAATGCCCAGGGCCATCTTTTGGGAAGCAATCCCAGTGAAGACCCTGCCCAGCACCTGCTCCTACTGATGCCACAGACACAGCTACTGAAGACCCAGAAAAGAAAAGTTCTTGCCACAAGAACCATCAAATAGTTTCAGCATCAGAAACCGATATCATTATATCAAAGAAGAAGCATCAACAACAGCTTTAGTGCTGTACCCTAAGCACCATGGGACTTTTCCATCTGACTTGCAGCTGAAACCTTCCCTAGAATTGTCTCCCCCACTAGAATGTGAGTTCCTTGAGAACAGGTACTCTCTTACTTTTCTATTTATATCCCCATCACTTAGCATAGCACTTCACACAAAATTAAGTATTAATAAATATATAATAAACAATACTAATAAAATTAATAAATGCTTTATTCATTCAGGATATATATGTCATAGTTCCTAGGGTCTCAGTAGTGTCCATGGGCTTAAATTGGGCAGGCTTTCTTAGTTTTTCCATTCCATATCCCTAATTCTTTTCAGCTAGTTGTTTTTTTTAAATACTAAACTTTATTTTAGAGAAAGAATAATAAAACAAGTTATGAGGTACCTATTAAGAGAGCATTACAAACTGTCACAATTTTCTCACAAAAAATCCTAAACCAACAGACAAAAGAAATTTTGACCACTCTCCTAAAATCTCAGTCCCCTTATTGTAACTCCCTCTTAGTCATTGACTTATTCCTCCTGAAACCACCATCTCTGCCAAAGGTATTCTCAAAAAACAAATAAATAACACACAGCCTTGTAAAATAATAGATTCAAGAGAGTGGTAAAAGTAATAACTTACATTTCTATAATACTTCAAGTTTCACAGATTCACAGCCACCCTTGAGATAAGTGGTACAAGTCTTATACACTAATTCCTCCCCTGCCACCTTCAAATATGACTAAGCTTCTCGCTTCCTTAGACCCTCAAGCTATAATCCTACATCTCTCCTCAAATACAAAATTCTAGAAATTGCTGTCTACACTTACTCCCTCTCATCCTCTTTTCTCATATACTCTTCAATCCTTTGCAATCCGCTTTCTGATCACATGACTTGGGTGAAACTAAGCTATTCTCCCCAAAGTTATCAATGATGTTTTAATTGCCATATCAGATGGTCTTTTTTCCCCCAGTCATCCTCCTCCTGAATACTCTCTCATCTCTGGGCTTTCATGACACTATTCTCTCCTGGTTCTCCTGTTATCTACTTAACCACTACTTAGTCTCCTTTGCTTATTCAGATCATTTCCCCTAAACATGGGTATTGCCCAAGGCTCTGTCATAGGTCCTCTACTTTTTTCTTCATATGGTCTCTCTCCTGGGGCTTCTTCAGCAACCAAGAGTTTAATGATAACCTCTATGCAGATGCTTCACTCATCCACATACCCATGCCCAATTCCAATATCTTTTCTGAGTTTCAGTCCATTACCAATCATCTATTAGACAATTCAAGTAGGATGTCCCAGAGATATCTCAAATGCAACATGTTCAAAACAGAATTTATTTTTTCCCTCAAGCCCACTCTTTTTCTGAATTTACCTCCTTTCTATCTCCCAAATTAATAACATTGACATTTTCCTTAACTCTTCACTCTCCATTATCCCATAGGAGCCAGGCAGTTGTCAGATCTGTTTTTACTTCCACACTTCCCACATTTGATCCATTTGAATACTCACACAACTTTCTCCTTAGTTCAGGCTCTGATCACCTCTCACCTGGATTATTGCCAGAACCTCCTAATTGGTTACCCTGCCTCAAGTTTCTCTCTACTTCAGTCCATCCTTCCCACTGCTACCAAAGTGATTTTCCTTAAGCACAGATTTGAACATATTACTCTCCTTCTCAGTAAACCACAATGCCTTCCTATTGCCTCCAGAGTAAATTACAGCCTCCTTTGTTTAGTGTTAAAAGTCCTTCACAATCTAGCTCAACCCACCTTTCCAGGCTTATTGCTCTCTGCCTCACACTCTGCTATCCAACTAAACAATTATTGAAACGACCTCTTAATTGGTCTGATTATAGTCTCTTGCCCCTCTAGTCCATCCTACATAAAGTTGCCAGGTGGTCTTCCTAAGGCTCAACTCAGATCTTGCCATGTCCCTGGTAAAAGACCATCAATGTCTCTCTATTGCCTAGGGCCTGGTGGGTGATGTTTGAATTCCTCTGGTTATCATTTCATGCCCTTCTCCACCTTTGTTTCTGGTTTTATTTTCTTTGCACTCAGCCAACCTGGAGTACTCAAGAGTTTCCTTAATATTCTACCTCTTCACTAGCCATTCTGTCAAACACTACCTTGCCTATGAAGTCTTCCCAACTTCCCCACCCTACAGCCAGCTTAAAGTAACCCCTTCCTCCTATGAATTCTGGAGATAACCATGATATAGTGGAAAGAAGTTTAAAGTGAGAAGACCAGATCCAATTCTAGCTGTGCCATCGTGGCATGATTTCAGGCAACCCAGGTTCCCCAACCTTAACAGGGTGGTAATAATAGCTGCATTACCAACAGAGCTATAACTAGGATCTTTAACTCCCATGGAAAACATCACCAAACGTGCTTGGGTCAGGCATACTAAGTGTACTCCCAGTGAAAAGGAGTGAGGATAGGAGAGAGAAAGCCACTCTACCATCCTCCGATGAGGCAGCAAAAACCACCAGGAAAATGACACAAGACTTTTGTTAGAGAGGCCACCAAAAGAGGTAGAGCAAGTTAGGAGCTCACCCCAGTCTACTATCTGATAGCTGACTATTTTCTCTAATTATTCTTGCAACCTAGGTGCTAAACTATTGTTTCTAGCTGCTGGAAGACAAGTGTTTCTTGAACCCCCTCAAACACAGGGTTGTTGAGAAAATAAAATTAGATAATGGATAGTTATAGCATGAATAATAATAATCAAACCACACTCCTCCCTCTTGGTGGGAGTCTAATTTGACACAGTTTTTATTATGATGATTTGTGTATATGTCGGCATGGCATAACATATACAGCACTGAATTTGGAGTCAGGAGTGACTTGGGTTCAAATATTACTCACTAACTGTGACTCTAACATTAACTGTGGGCAAGATGTGAGTCTCTTTGAGACTTAGTTTCTTCATCAGTAAAATGGGAATAATATTATATGTGCTACCTGCCCTTCCATGATTATTGTGAAGCCCAAATGGGATATACATAAATGGCTTTCCAAACTTGCAAACACTACATACATACATACATACATAAATACTTACATACATATGTGTGTGAGCTGTTCTCTTCATTTCTCCACTAGACAGTAAGCTCTATGAGGTCAGGGATTGAGTTTTGAGAGTTTTTCATCCTCTCCAGTGACTGACATAATGCATTATGCATAGCATTCATTCATTCATTCAAAAATTTTCGTTGAGCACCTGTTGTGTGAAGAACACTATGCCAGCCACTGGGAAATAGACAAAGTTTAAATAATTCAAAATTCAGCAATCTTTTATTAAGCAGTTACTTTGTGAAAGGCCCTGTGACAGATATTGGGAAAACAAAGACGAAAATGCACCAGTTTGGAGCTTGTATTTTAGGATTTTAAAGTGACTGCTGTAATGGCATTGATTGTTTGTTGAATGAATGTTGGATTTTTCTTGTAAAGAAATAGTCAATGTGGCAATCCCACAATATTTTATTTGGTTTGGAATTCTAGACTGAGGGCAGATTTGCTTTGCAGGCAGCACAAAGTAGACATTGTCCATTTTATGCTTATAAATGGGGATGTGTCCAAAATAATATGCTATTAATTAAGCACTACCCAGACAGGGCAGTGTCTTAGGCAAAGGGCAATGCTAATCCTTCTCTCTGATGAGCACCAGCTCTTCACAAAGGAGGACAGGATGTTCCATGGAGCCCAGAACATAGGGTCCCACTGGATTCCTGACAAACCACTTGAGGAGAGGGGCATGAGACAAGTTTAGGCGCTGGACAAGAAATGGAAAAAGGGAGGGAAGATCCTCCCTCCGCCTTTCCTTTGGCCTACCAGAAGTTGGGACAAATTCAATCACTTTGGTCAATGATTCTTGCCAGGGTTGTGTCCCTGACACTTTTCAGAAAACGGAAGACAGTTGTTCCTCCTGTCCCCACCTCTGCCAGTGCCTGAGGTGGTTCCGGAAGGTGGCCCAGGCCCCCATCTTTGGCCTTGGCTGCCCCTGTGAGGATGTACGTGGCCACGATGCTGATGTGGTAACTCCTCAGCTCTGCCAGGGCGGCCACACACTGGTTATAGGCTTCACGCAGTAGGCAGCTCCCAGATGACAAGATGTACTCCCTCAGGGAAGGGGCAGAGCGGACCTCCTCTATGAAGGCCCTGTGGGAAGGAGGCATGTATTCCTGCATTCCGTGCAAGAAGGTAGCTGAAAGAGACCAGAGGAGCAACACATGAGCCAAGTCAAAGGAGAAGAAAGACTTACCTCCTTCCAGACATCACAGCTCTGCCCCCCAATACCTTTCATGAATTATTTACATACTATCATCCCCCCCAAAAGAATATAAGTTCCTTGAGGGTAGGAGCTATTTAATGTTTCTTTGTATACCCAGTGCCTAGAACAGTGCTGGGTATGCAATAGGTACTTAATAAATGCTTGCAGATCGATTGATCACAGATTTAGAGCTAAAAACGACCCAAGAAGTCGTCAAGTCTAAGCTTCTCATTTGACAGGTGAGGAAAGTGAAGTCCAGAGACTCATAAAGTGACTTGTCCACTGTCGCAAAGGTAATTAGTAGCAGGACCAGAATTTGAATCCAGGTCTTTTGATTCTAAATACACAGTTCTTTCCGTTGTCCCATAATGCCTCTCAGATGGCACGGTGGAAAAAGCACTGGACTTGCAGTTACAGAAACTAGCTTCCAGTCTTGGCTGTATCATCCACTAGCCCTGTGACCTTGGAAAAGTCACTTAACTTCTCACTGTTAGTCTTTTCATCATAAAATAGGGATGGTGATACTTCCTTCATTGACTTCATAGCATGGTTATAAAGGAAGTAATTTGTAATCCTTATATACATGTATACATTATACAGATTTACATATATAAATGTAATGGTTCCTCTGATTCATACTCACCTGTTCTACTCTGCTGGAATTCTTTGACTTATGGAGGGGAGATGCATTCAGTATGGCATCTCAGGCCTAATCCTCAACCATCTACCTAACAACATAGAAACTAGAGAGACAGAGGAGCTGTGCAGATGCTCTGACCATCTGTGAAAAGTACCAAGGTGAAATCCTTATGAACAGATGTGATCATGTCTCTCCTCTGCTCCATAGCTCCCTATTGCCTACAAATAGAGTTCTAACTCCCCAGTCTAGCATTCAAGTCTCTTTACGACCTGATGCCACTGTGCCTTTCCAGCTTTAATTTCAATTTCCCCACCTTAGTCTTCCCTCCCCACCCCAAACTCTGTACTACAGCCCGAGTGAACAATTCACCATTCTCCCACCATACCTTCAATGTACATATGAGAAATCAGAGCCCTAGACATCAAATGACTTCAACCAATCACTCAATCAATTAACAAGTACATGCCAATACATGCCCACAAGGAGTAAACAATAGAACAGGATTTGAACTCAGGTCTTCTAACTCTGAAATCAACTGTCAATCCATGATATCATGCTGGGTTCCTTACTATCTGGCCTCACTCTTCATGTCTTCTACCTCCCTCTCAATCTTTAAGCCATGTAATATTTCAGCTTTGGGCAATAGGTGATAGCGTGGTCATAGAATCTGCAAACAGTGGGCTGGAAGGAAGCCTTTCCTATAGAGGAAAGTGATGGCACTTATATTTATCAGGGATTTTAAGAATCCTTCCTGGTAATAATATGATGTAAAATATTAAGAAACACCAATCTAGTAGCAGTTTTTAACCAGGTGTCTATGAACTTGCTTTTATTTTAATATTTTTTTATATTTTCATATTTTCTATATCTTCAATATAATTGATTTCTTTTGTAATCCTATGTATTTTATTTTATGAATTCGAAAACATCATTCTGAGAAGGGACCCATAGACTTTACTCTGGGCTCTCAAAGAGGTCCATCACACACAAAAAAGTTAAACACCCCTGATCCGGAGGTCAGAGTGACACCCTTGTTCATTCAGTTGGTCAGGGATAGAGCTAGGAATTTCGTTCAAGTGTTCTGACTATCCTATCTCTCTCTCTTTCTCTCACTCTCTTTTTTTCCCTTTAGATGAAGTATCAGTGACCTTTTAGGCAAGGTTTGCCGGGGTTATAACTGGTCCCTTTCTTTCTTGCATTACAAGTGATGTTAATATCTCACAGCCACTGTTATGCGTTGTAAAGAATAATGGTTTTGGAGCTGAATTCAAGTCCTAATTCTGCTACTTGCAGACTATGTGATTCTGTGCGACTTTAGGCTTTCTAGGCTTTAGCTTCCTCATCTGTAAAAATGAAGGGGGTGGACAAGATAACTTGTAGGGGCTCTTCAAGAGCCTTGGAATGCATTTACTAACTGTGTGACCCTGGGCAAGTCATTTAACCCTGCTTACCTCAGTTCTTCATCTGTAAAATAAGTTGGAGAAGGAAATCGAAAATCACTCCAGTATCTTTTATTACCCAAATGTGGTCTATGACTAAAATGACCCAACAAAAAAAGGAAACTGGGAAAATTTTTACAGTAAGTTTCTCTAATAAAGCTCTCATTTTTCAAGTATATAGAGAACTGAACCAAAATTATATAAAAAGGAGTCATTTCCCCAACTGATAAATGGTCAAATGATATAAACAGGCAGTTTTCAAGAGGAAAATATCAAAGCTATCAATAATCATATGAAAAAATGTTCTAAATCTCTAATAATTAGAGAAATGCAAAATTAAAACAACCCAGAGACACCACCTCACATCTGTCAGAGTGGCTAACATGACAGAAAAGGAAAATGACAGATGCTGGAAGCCATGTGATAAAATAGTTACACTAGTGCACTATTGGCAGAATTGTGAACTGGTATAACCATTCTGGAGAATAATCTGGAACTATGCTCAAAGGGCTATAAAACTGTGCATGCCCTTTGACCCAGCAATACGGCTCCTAGGTCTATAGCCCAAGGAAATCAAAAAAAAGGGAAAGGATCTACATGTACCAAAATATTTGTTGCAGCCCTTTTTGTAGTGGCAAAGAATTAGAAACTCAGGGAATGCCCATCTATTGGTGAATAGCTGAACGAGCCATAGTATGTGAATATGATAGACTACTATTGTGCTATAAGAAATGATGAAGGGGATAGTTTCCAAAACAACTGGGAAGACCTATATGAACTGATGCAAAATGAAGTGAGCAGAATGAAGAGAACAATGTACATAGTAACAGCAATATATGAGGAAAATCAACTGTGAAAGACTTAGTATATCTGATCAATACAATGATCCACCACAACTCCAAAGGATTCATGCTATAAACTGCTATTCACCTCCAGGTAGAGAACTGATGAACTCAGAGTACAGATAAAAATTTTTCTTTCATTTTTTTCAGCAGATGGCTAATGTGGAAATATGCTTTGCGTGACATAACCCCATGTATACTGAGTATCAGATTTCTTGCGTTCTTAATGGGTAGAGGAAGAGATGGAGGGAGGAAAATAATATGGAACTGAAAATTAAGATAAAATTAAAAAGTAGGGATCAGGTGACCATTTATTAGGGATATCACATGGGGTTTTATGATTCAGAAAGGGTTTGGAATAGATGATTTCTGAGTTCCTTCCTACTGTATAATTCTGTGCTATTCCAAAGAAAAACTAAAAATCCAATACAATGTGGTGCTACTCAAAGATATTTCCTGCAGATGTCTTCCAAACACATCATATGCATATATATATATATATATAGTCCTACTAATATATATATATATATATATATATATATATATATAAGTAGGACTAGTGTGGATCTGGGCTAAGACACTCCAAAGAGCCAGGCCCAATCCCACAGAGAAAGACTAAAGGTTTTTTTTCTTCATGGTTAGGAGGGATCAGAGTTCAGGGCTGGGGCTGAACTCTGTGGTTCTGGCTTCAAGCCTGGATCACTATCTCTTGGTCCAAAATGGCTTTTACTTTTCAGTGTCCCAAGTCGGGGTAAGAGAATAAGCATTTTCTCTCAAACCAGTAAAGAAATTGCAGAATCTCTGTCTTGGAAGGGAACTCAGGGACCATCTAATCTAACCCATCCCAGAACAGAAATGGCCTCTATAATATCCCCAAGTAATCATTCAGCCTCTGCTTGCAGAACTCCATTGATGGGAAAGCCACTATTTCCCAAGGCAGCCACCCGTTCTGCTTTTGGACAGCTTGAAGTGTTAGAAAGTTTTCCTTACAACTAGTTGAAATCTGCCTTTCTGAAACTTCCCCCCTTCACTCCTTATTTCAACAGGCCAAACAGCAAATCTATCCCTCTTCCATACAACAGCTATTATATGTCCCCAAATAATAGCTAGCATTTATATAGTGTTTTACAAATGTTATCTCACTTGACCTTTGTAATAACCCTATGTTGTTGTCATTCAGTCCTTTCAGTCACGTCCTACTCTTCATAACCACATATGGGGGTATTCTTGGCAAAGATACTGGAGCGGTTTGCCATTTCCTTCATTTTACAAATAAGGAAACTGAGGCCAACAGAGTTAAGTGACTTGCCCAGGTCACACAGCTAGGAAGTGTCTGTGGCTGGATTTGAGGTGTGAGTGAGGTCTCCTCACTCCAGGGCTCTATTCACTGCACCATCTAGCTGCCCCAATAACCCTACAAGATAAGTACTATTATTATCCTCATCCTATAGATGAGGCAAACAGAGATTAAGTGACTTTCCCAATATTATATAGCTATTAAATTTCTGAGGCAGGATTTGAACTCAGGTCTTACTGAATCCAAGTCCAACACTTAATCTACTGTACCACCTCACTGCCTTAAATCTCCTCCACTAAATGTATTCAGGTCTTCCTTCAACAGACCCTGATATGGAATGTTTTCCAGTTCCCTGGTGTCCATTCTCTGGATACATTCCAATTTTCCAGCATTCTTCCAAAAATGTGGCTCCCAGATCTGAATACAACATTCCAGATAGAATCTGACTAGGGCAGAGGCAAGCAAAGCTTTTATCTCCATTACTGTAGATACTCTTAATGTGATCCAAGATTACTGGGTTTTGGAGCCTCCATGTCACACCAATGACTGATACAGAGACTGATGTGGGACAGGGAATTAGTGGAGGTTCTCAGACCCATTGGTTCCAGATGTATCAAAGCAATTCTCTCCCCCCATTTCCTCCCTAATTTAGAATGAGGAAACAGCTACTTAGGAACTTCAACCTGAGTCACAGTGAACAGCAGAAAACAGACTATTGCCTTGGGGTTTCCTTGTAATGGGAGCCAGAGGCCTGCCAAGATCAGAATAGATCTTGGCTTGGTGCAAAGATCTTCTGAAGGGCCTTGCTGACTCAAGAGAATGTGGATTTTGTGACGTTTTATCAACTGGAAACTATGTCAGTCCTCTTTCCAAAGCCTCCTTATGGCATGGCAGTGACCCTGGATTCTCAAAAACTATGCCAGTAAAGTTGAAGCTCTGGAAGGTTGTACCAAGCTAAAAACCCAAAATGAGATCACAGATGGAGAATGTGAGAAAGCTATCTGGAGATGGGCCTACCTGGGTGAGCTAAACATGATATTTTGACTCATCCTCTCAGGTGGATTATTTACTGTGGCAATGGCTCACCAGTTGTCCAGTCAAAAATATTTAGTAAGCACCTACTGTGTTACAGGCACTGTATTCAGCACTGGGCTTGTGATCTGCACTGGGTACATATACCTGCCACATTCATGGAATTTGGCTCCTTAAAGTATTGGCCAATCTGTTAAGAAATCTTTGGCAAAAGTGCCCACTGAAATTTTAAATTTTTTTAAAAAAGATCAAATAAAGAGCATCGGACTTACTGCTTTCCTTGCTATGACAAACACCTAATAACTCATCAAATGCATGAAATGATGTGCTCTGAGCTGCACTTCCTCCAGAATATTTCAAAGGCTCTTCTGAGACTCCTTCATATATCAACCCTTCTGCAATTGCTGGGTTATCCTTCCAGCTGAAAAAGAAAATAAGACAGTTTTTTTTCCATGAATTCTATACAATTGGACTGTACAAACATGGAGCAAGTGCCTAGCATATGCAGAGTAAGAGGCATGTAGATAGCATGTAGAGAGCTAGTCTTCATGAAAGGAAGATGTGGATTTGGGTCCTGCATGACATACACCATGAGGGAATTGGAAAGCGGCAAACTTCAGGGTGGTGACCCCTACAATCTCCCGACTAGCTATTCCTTCCAAGTAGTGTTTACACATTATGGAGTCAATGAAGCTAGTTTCCATTCCTGGCTCTGCTCTTCACTACCTTGTATGACTTTAGACAAGTCACTCTCTTTCCCTAGGATTCAGTTACCTCCTCTATAAAATGAAAGGACTTAGTTAATAGATCGATAAGGTACTTTCTATCTTGACATCCCATGATGTCAATTTTCCATCGATTTCAAATGAAAATACATTCCTCCGACAATGGGCTTATCTAATAATATAATGATGAGCGTGGATTTGGACATAAAGGACTTGGGTTCCAAAACCAGCTTCCGCCAAGTTGCATATTCACAGAACAAAAAAGAAAGAAAAAAGAATAAAAAAGAAAAATCACAGAATTTAAGGGTTGGAAGGGAAGTCAGTGGCCAGATAGTCCAAGCCACAAGTAGAAGGAATCCCCATGCTATTCAAGTCAGTAAGTAACCATTGGGTACCTACATGCCTTGCACTATGGAGATATTCTTTCTTTTTTGAAAGAAATGACTAAGACTAGAAGAAGAGAGAACTAGATTGTTAAGTGGTACAGCAGAGCCAAATGGCCAGGTACAAGTCCTGCCTCTTATACCTCCTAGGTCTCTGAGCCTCAGTTTCTTCATTTGTAGTATGACAATAAGTCTTATCCCATTATCTCAGGGCTATTCTGTGGAAAGCATTTTGTAAACCTTGAAAGGCTAGAGATATGAACTACTCTCACCATGAGAATATTTTGAAAGACATGTCAGTCAATCAACAAGTCTTTATTAAGCACTCATTATATGCCAGGCACTGTGCTAATCCTTGGGGGTACAAAGAAAGGCTAGGTGGTACAATAGATAGAGTACTGGGTCTCGAGTCAGGAAAACCTGAGTTCAAATTCAGTCTCAGGTACTTACTAGCCTCTAGTTAGATAATTATCTAACTTCTGTCTGCCTCAGTTTACTCATCTGTAAAATGGATATAATAATAATATCTACCTCCCAGGTAGGTGGGGATAGAATGAAATAATAATTGTAAAGTGTTTTGCAAACCTTAAAGCACTATAGGAATACTAGCTATTATTATTATTAAAGACATGGTTCCTGCCCTCAAGGAGCTCACATTTCAATATTTCAATAGGGGAGACAATATGCAAATAATTTTTTGGACAAAATCAATAAAGTGTAAATGAAAAGTAATCTCAGGGACTTGGGAAGGGGGGGTTAAGTGCTGGGAAAAACCTAAAGAAGATGGAATTTGAACTCAATTCATAGGATCATATCCTTGGAGTTGTAAGAAGTCTAAAGAAGTCATGAAATCCAACCATCTGTTTTACAGATAATGAAACTGAGACCTAGAGAGGTTAAGTCACACCAAGATCACCCCTTAGGCATAAAAAAAGATGTCCTGGGCATGGTGGTTTAATGTGTAGCATGACGGCACACCTGGCACCCTCTACGCATGCCTATAGATGACACACTGGCTGAACCAGCATTTATTTTCCTAGAATGGAACCTAAATTGGAGACTTGAGCAGCCAAGGGAGGGTATCTTGTTCCAAACACTGTTTCTCCCACTATTATGAGACGATTCTAGAAAAGGAGAAACTCAAGAACAACAAAAAGCGTTTGGATTCCTTTAAAGCCTAAGCAGCTGTTTTTGGGAGATCTGAGAGGGAAATAGTTGGTTTATCAAACAATTATTTTTAGCCTTCCTTGGAGCCTATTTATAGCAATCCTAAGAAGCGAATAAATGAAGAGATTAAATATTGAAATGCCACGTTTTTTCACCAGGGTCAATGACCTCCCCAAGATGGTTAATATGAGTGGAAACTGGAGGGGAGGAGCTTCATCTTGTAGCAGAATCTCTCAACTCTTAAAAATAAAATCTTAAAAGAATTCCAACTATAGATAAGATCAGGAATAGAAAAGTAAGGGGAAATTTTGTTATTGAAAGTAAAGATCTTCCTGATTTTTAATATTGTTAAAATGTCTGTATTAGTGGCCATCCATTGTTTTCAATCCAATTCAAAGAACACTCATAGGGCACTTACTGTGTGAAGCATAATGCATTCACCCTGGGGTTAAAAAAAAGATGAAAAAAATGACACAGTTCCTACTTTCCAGGGCTTTACATTCTATAGTAGGGCTATGACATGGACATAAATAAGTATGATAGAGGGTAGAATGTGACTTAAACAAGGAAGAGATTCAAAGTCCTTTAAAAAAATTTGAGGACAAAATTGGGGAAAAGACAACTGGGAAAGGCTTCATGAAGGAGGTGGGAACCCAAACTGTGTGGTTAAAAAAAGTTTACATTACATAGAAAGGAAGAATATACAGAATAATTTGACCAACCATCAATCTTGTTAAAAAATGTCTATTTGTGATTTTGTTAGGCCATACTAAGTGGCAGTTGGGTGGTACAGTGGATAGAGTACTGGGCCTGGAGTGAAGAAGACCCATCTTGAGTTCAAATTTGGCTGCAGACACTTCCTAGCTATGTGACCCTGGGCAAGTCACTTAACCCTGTTTGCCTCGGTTTTCTCATCTATAAAATGAAGGAAATGGCAAACCATTCCAGTATCTTTGTCAAGAAAACCCCAAATGGGGTCACGAAGAGTTGGACACAACTGAAACAATTCAACAGTATTAGGTGGTAAATAGTGGTAAAATCAAAAGCATGGGAGAGCTTGATATTTTTATTAGAAAACAACAACACCTATTGGCTTCCAGGAGGGATTTTTAATCTCCTTTAAAGTCCTCTTTGTGTGAAGTCTTCCCTAATCCTCAACTGGTAGTACTCTCCTCCCCAACTGCCTCAGATTTAACTATTTTGTATGTATTTGTATCGATTCACTTTATACATATGTTACGTGTGTGCATGTGTATAAAATACATTATTATGACACTAAAAATTTGAGAGACATAAGTTTCTGGGTAATCTATCATTTTATTAATAATGCTAGCATTTTATTAATAAAAGAAGTCAATGGTGCTCTCAAATGCCAAAGACCTCTCATGGTGGTGAGCTCTTAATTTATGTGCCTTTGGAAGAGTAGGTGTTTCTGAGGGTGGCAATCAACTCTGATGGTTTGTCAATAAGAAAATGAATATTATAATGAAATGTGGGCTCCTTCTAATGAGGGTCTTGGGGATACCTGGCTTGGATCACTCAAGTCTTGATCAAAGAGACATATCACTTCCATATCACTTGTCTGACAAAAGGGAGAATCCACATTTTTCCCAGACCTGTCTGAGTAAACACAATGAGCAGGAATCTACCCATTTACCTAAACTTGGAATTTCTTTTACTGTCTTTAATTAGATCTTAGCCTGGTCTTTGCCCAAGATTTCCCACACTAGTTGATTTCTGGATGAGGAAGTAAAAAAGGGAAAAAACCTCGATCCTAATTTAATAATTAGTTGTTAAATACAAAAGAGAAATAATTATGTATACATACATGTATATACTTGCTATCATGCTTATGTAGAATATTTACATATGTGTATATATGTGTACATACATCCATATATTTGTGTGATACACACATACACTTATTGTTCCCCTTTCCAATTTAGTTCCTTAAAATTAGGTATTGTTTTGGTTTTTGTACTTTTAACCCCAGAGCCTAGCACGATGGCTGGTATATAGCATTGTTATTGTTCAGTTGTTTCAATCATATCTGACTCTCTGTGACCCCATTTGAAGTTTTCTTGGCAAAGATACTGGAGTGGCTTGCCCTTTCCTTCTCCAACTTATTTTACAGATGAGGAAACTGAGGCAAACAGGGTTAAGTGACTTGCCCAGGGTCACACAGCTAGTAAGTGTCTGGGGCCAGATGTGCACTCAGGAGGTTGTCTTCTTGGTTCCCAACCCAGTGCTCTATCCGCTACTCCACCTAGCTGCCTTGGTACATAGTAGTCAATTAATAAATACTTGTTGATTGATAAATGGATGAAATATGTGCAATGGACTCCCCTTCCCCCATCTCTATCTGCTGAAGTCCATCCTTTCCTTTAGGCCCTCATCAAATGCTAACACTTTCTCAAAGCCTTCCCTGACTTTTCCCTCTTCTCCCAGCCAAAAGTGATCCTTTTCTCCTCTCACAAATGGAATCTCATAGCTTTTCATTTGACTCTCTCCTTTGTAATTCTCAAACCAGCCATTGTATCATAGCCCTTTACAGACGGACCTGATCTGCCCTCCAATTTGTCAGGAAGAAGTGAATCCCATGCATTATCCTTTAATCTCTCACACAAGATCTTGCATAATGTAGGCCCTTTATTAAATAAATGATTATTGAATTAAAGTAAACAAGTTTAGCTCAATCAGCAAATATTTGCCCCTGCATGGGGCAACAACAATCTCATCCTTCATGTTGGTGTCCCCACAACTGAACATAAAGCCTCATTTATTTCTTTTTTCTTTCTTTCTCTTTTTTTTAAGGGGGCCTGTGATTTCATCAGTGTAGACAAGGCCTAGTAAGGGACTTCCTCTGTAATTTATGGTCTTCAGAAAGTTGCCTGAGGTGCTAAGAAATTCAGTAACTTGCCCAAGGTCACACACTCTTTACTCTTGGCAATAAGTCTGGAAAGCTAGGTTGAAGCTAGATTTTGCAGGTCATTAAATATGAAAATGAAGATTCCATATTTCAAACCAGAGGTAATAGGGAGCCACTGAAGCTTCTTGAATAGGAGAGTGATATGGTGTCCACATTAGGAATATTAATTTGGCAACCATGTGGAAGATGGATTGAAGAGTGAAGAACTTGGAGACAGCTTAATAATTGGAGTCCGGGGTCAGGATTTGTCTTGGGCCTTTTTCCCATAAGGCATGTAGACAGAATAATGGAGCCCCCCAAAAAGCTTATCTCAGAGTTTGGGGGAGAAGCAGTGGGACCAACTTTTGAAGGAAATAATTTTTTTTAGTCTTCTCCTGCCACTATTTCCATACTTCTCTCCCATTACCTTTTTTCCTTCTCTCCCAATGCCTTGTCTCCTAGGGCTGCTACCTACTAACTACTCAGAGTTCCCCAAATACCACATACAATCCAGGGTTGCCCTGTCCTCACAGTGCCAAAATAATCTCTCTCTGCTTTCTGCCATTTACCATCAAAAAACCCAGTCCCTCAATGTAAGAGCTCTTAGACAAATGTTAGAGCTGATTGTTAGATGAGTTACGTGCTTAAATTAAGTCATATTTAGTTGTGGATGATTTAGAATTATCTGCATTTTAAGGGAAGTTTATACTTGTTAGATTTCAGAGTGAATAGAAGAGAGATGCTGGGGTGAGGTCTCATTTGGGCTCCTTAAATCCCACTCATAAGCTGTTACATACTCCTCTTACCTGCCCTATTGGGGAAGTAAGATATTGGGGAAAGGGAAAGGATAGGAAAAAATAGAAATAAGAGTGTAAGCTTCTCGCCCTCACTTTTGCAGGACTCAGAAATAGTTCAGAACTCATACAGAGGTCTGTCATGAGAACTCAGAAAGAGTCACTCATTTCTCAGACGTTGCAGTGATTACATAGGCCTGGGACTACAGGCAAAAGAAAATCAAACGTCACTTCTCACCCCAATTCTTCAGCCCTGACTTGGACTCAGACAAGTCCACTGCAATTCCCCTCTCCTCCCCACCTTAATTAGGAAAGTGTTCATGTAGCCTCACACAAGGAAAGCAATTGAGCTGTACTTACCCAGACAGAAAAATCCGGATGGCTGCATAAAATATAGCCGGATCTACGTAATCTAGGGAAACAATCAAAATGTGAACTTTTCTACAGGCCAAAAAAAGAAAGACAGAAGAAGAAGAAGAATGAGAAGAAGAAAGCAATTGGTTACATGTGCAGCAGCTTTATGCTCTCTCAGGCACTTCCTCCATCTGATCTGTACAATGACCTGGAATTAAAATGGCCCAGAGAGGGATGGAATGTTCTCTCCCGCAGTTGCCCTCCGTGGTGTTTGCAGAAATCGTAAACTATTCCATATGCTACCCTGTTCTATTTGTTGTGCTTCCCAACTAAAAAAATTAATTAAAAAAAAATTCCCAAAAGATCAAGGCCCTCTTCTGCCGAATCTTGCTCAAGGACATCATTTTTGTGAGGACAGACTGGCAGCGGGTACACAGGAAAGAATAGAATTTAAAGGAAGGGGGCCCCCATATGGTGTGGTATGAAGAATGCTGGCTTTGTAGGACCTGGCTTCAAATATTTGAAAAAGTCACTTAATTTCCCTGTGCTTAAGTTTCCTCCCTTACAAAATCAGACAATTATCTTACCTTTAAAGTCACTTTTGGTTACAAATTTATGACGCTATCATCCTAAGTTCTTAGGATAGGGAGCCCAAAGTTAGTAATGGCCTGAATCTTGGTATCATAGAATCAACCCCAGAGCTGGAAAGGACCTCAAGTGCCAACTAGTCCAAGCCCCACCCAAATCATTTATCTTTCCAGTAAGATGCCCAACTTGGGATCATCTGGATTCTACCTGAAGACGTCCAATGTCAAGGAACTCACTATCTCCCAAGGCGGTACGTTTCATCTGTGCACAAATGTAGTTTTAGGAGTTTTGCTTTTTCTTTAACCTAACATCTCTTTGTAACTCTTTACTCATTGCTCCTAGTTTCTGACCTCAGGGGCCTAGTTCAAGTCAATCCTTTTTTCACATGACAGCCCTACAAATACAAGAGGTGTTATCTCTAGGGAACAGAAGGCATGAGAGCTGAGACTTCCCACCTCACATTAACAACACGGGAATGCCCGCTGTAATTCGGGGTCCATCTAACTCAAGGGTTCTTAAACTTTATTGGGTCATGAACCCCTTTGAGAGTGTGGTGAAGCCCCTTCTCAGAATAAGGTTTTTAATTGTGTAAAAGAAAATATATAGGATTATAAAGGAAATCAAAGGCTAGTGAAAAGACATATATATATATATATATATTTTTTTTTTTTTTTCCACATCCAAATTAATAAGCACCTTGAACTCTATCCATAGACCCCTTGGAGGTTGGTGGACTACAGGTTAAGAACCCTTAAATTGTTACTGAATATTCTCTTGCCAAAAGAAGTCCAAAAGGAACATTACTTTGGGAGGGCCTGATTGTTCTCTCAGATGTCAACCTTAAGAGACAATGATGTGGCCCATCTCCATTTATGACTCTATCATTCATACATTTGTTCAAAGCTTTTTTTGAATTCTTTTCTGTTTCCAAGGAGTACCAACCCTTGGGGGTTCTATAAAATGATTATCTACTGTGTGAAGTTGTGCTTGCTGTTTGTTGTCCTAAACTCCAATGAATTAATTCAGTTCAATAGACCAAATATGGGTGAAGAGGACAGGGCCTAGGCAAAACTGTAAAGGCAAATTTTGTTCTTTCTAGTTCCACCCCATCATCCTCCTTATTCCTCTATGCTTCTTATCCCTTCAGAGAATCCTACAATTCAAGTGCCTAATGCCTGATTCTGTCCCCTGGCTGCCGAGGGCACAAAGCAACAACAATAATAATAGCTATTTTTAAAAATAATACTTGCAAGCTTATGGAAAGCTTTCCTTACAATAATCCTATAAGGTGGGAAGTGCCAGTGTTATCAAGTATCATTCTACAGATGAAAAAACTGAGGCTCAGAGGCAAAATAAATTGCCCCAAATAACCTAGCTAATGAGTATTAGAATTGAGATTTGAATCCAAGTCTCAGGACTCCTGGCCTAGAGCCCCAGAATTATAGCCTACCCCGACCTTGTACTCCCTGGCAAGAACCAGTTTCAGGTCTTTCTCTACTGGCTTGCACCCCTGAATTTTACCATCCTGGTGTCCCATTCCCTTAGATATCCATACCCCATCCTGGATGATGAAAGCTTAATCTGATACATTCTGTTTCATCTGTAAAGTAAGGATAATGATAGCCCGTATCTCCTAGGGTTGTTATGAGGATCAAATAATAAAACATATGCAAAACACTATGCAAACTCCAAAGTGTCATATAAATGCTAACTACTATTCTAGCTGTTATCATTATTAGACTAATTTGAAGTACAGTGTTAATGGCCGATAATGGCTTAATCAGTTATTCCCTGAAGAGAATATAGTCACAATGTTAACAGATACAAAAATCGCAAAATGGCCAAATTAAAAGAGAGCTCACAAAGCATCTAATCCAACAAGTAGCTGAGCAGAGATTCCTTCTGCAACAAAAAAAACCTCCAGTGATGGGGAACTTACTACCTCTTAAGGCAACAAACTCAGAATACTTTTGGACTGCACTCATTTTTTTTTTTTTTTTTGTGATTTGAAATCTGCATATCCCTCATTGCCTTAAGTCAAAAGACTGACAACAAGGGAAATTTCAGTCAAGTTGGTGGGGAAGATATTTTAGGAATAGTGGAGGTCAAAAGAAAAGACCATTTTGCATACCTCAAATCAAACTCCATAGAGGATATTTTTGCTGCCTCTTTGGAAAGCCAACCCTCTTGGTGAAGAAAGAAAATATGTTTTGAACTGATGCCCAATCTTGGAACTACTGAGAGAGAGCTTGAGAGCTAAGGGTGGGGTAAAGGAGGGAGCTCTGCTACAAGCCAGATAGATTAGCCTGTGCAGGGGACAGTGTCCAAGAGAAGGATTAATTTAATCCTCCTCATCTCTGCATACTAGAATAGGGAGGTGGCCCCAGAGAGTAAGGAATCTACTGGGGCAGGAGAGCCCAGGAACAGCTGGGGTCCAATTCCACATCTTCAAACAATGTTTTGGGGATGCAAGAAGGCTCAGAACACAAGGCTAAGCAGATTTCCCATCAAATTTTAAACCAGTGTAGATTTCTAGAGAAATTTAATTCATCTGTTTTTTATTAATTTACACTCAGCTCATCAAAATGTTATGTTGCAAGAATTATTTGATGTCTGGAAAGCCTGAGGAAATTTGCTTTGTAAAAATTATTATTATTTAAATATTTGCTTTGTAGTGGAGAGTTTCCTTTAATCAAAGCAAAACTCAGACAATATCTGCTTTGGGCCAAACTCTACACCCACAAGCCCACCCCAATCTTCAGTGTTTTCAGGCCATAATCTCACGGTTCATGATATTCATGGTCTGGAAAGCTCTATAATCTTTATTATTACCATGAATGGATGAAGTTTTGGAGGGAGATGTTCTTCTCCCAGGCTTGTGGCCTCATATGCTACGATTATGTGATCTCCTGCCTCTGACAAGTCAACGTGATTGAATTCTCCTTGTCTCCTAATTCTCCCTCATTCTCACACACACACACACACACACACACAACCACCATGGCCAATTCTACCTCTGTGGCGTTACTCATATTGCTTGCCTCACCTAGAAAGCTCTTTTCTTCTTCCTTGCTTATTCAAATCTGACTCCTCCTTAAAGTCCAGCCAATGTCCTATTTCCTTCCCCCATCTTCACTCTTCATTTCTCTTCTCCAGTCTCCTATAGCACTAGTCATCTAATGCCATATAATTTGCCCCTTTCATGGAGCACGAATACAGAGCAACCAAATATCCTGATTTTCCCTCCTGTGTGAAGAGCTAGAGTGGACAAAAGGTGGATTTTTTTACATCAATGTAAAAATGAATGACTTGTTTGGAGCAAAGAATAATTGTGAAATTTTCTGTGACGTTAAACAGATCTACGTATGGTTAACTTGATACATTAAAAGAAGATTACGAGAATCAGGTAATGCCAAGAACTAGGGTTTCTGCCTTGCAATGTTTTAAAGAAAGCAATAACGGTCTGTATTTATTTAGCACTTTATAGTTCATAAAGCTTGTTCTGCTTAAGAGAAGCCCATTCTTCATGTTTGCCCTTTGCAAATAATATTATCACCATTTTATAGGTGAATAATAATAATAACTGACATTTGCACAGCATTTTAAGGTTTGCAAATTGCTTTCCATGCATTCTTTCATGTGTTCCTCTCAGCAGCCCTGCTAACTTGTACTGCATTTATTATTATCCCTTTATTACCTATGAGAAGAATGAGGCTCAGAGCTGTTGAGAGACTTGTCAAAGGTCACACAGGTGGTGTTAAAAGAGGAATTTAAGCCCAGATCTCTTTTATCTCCAGGTTCAACACTACACTCTGCTCAGAGACCTTCAGTGACTGACCAAATGTGTAGTCACACGCGTAGTGTTCTATGAAGTTTGGATTCAAACAAAGGGCTGCACCTGAGGACCTAGAGGGTCATATGTGGCATTGAGGTCACAGGTTCCCCACCCCTGCACTCAACCAATGCAAACATAAGAACAGATTACAACTTGCTTTGTGCAAAGTGGCCATTAATAGGGAGAATGGTGGCCGATTGGTTCAATTTGGAGAAGAAAACAGGGCTAATCTGAAAGAAATCTAGAGCACAGGGAAAGCTTGGGCAAAGAGGAAAGGGCATTTTGTTGTTTAGTCATTTTTCAGCCATGTCTGACTCTTCATGACCCCTTTTGACATTTTCTTGGGAAAGATACAGGAGTAGTTTGCCATTTCCTTCTGCAGCTCATTTTACAGGTAAAGAAACTGAGGCGAATAGGTAAGTGACTTGCCCAGGGTCACCCAGCTAATAAGTGTCTGAGGCAGAATTTGAACTCTTCCTGACTTCAGGCCCAGTACTCTATCCATTGAGCCACAAGGACTCCTCTCAAAAGTTATAGAGGAACCCAATATTTCTTTCTTTGACAAATCAACGGCATTCTTCATTAAAAAGGTAGCCCCACAGAGTAAGTCAAACAGACAAATTAGATAGATCCTCTGAAGCACTGGTAAGATTATATGTGATGCAAAGAAATAAACCATCCTCGAATGCGTGGCTTCAGTGTGCTTCCTGTGTAACAGTTTTTGGCCAAAATGGTATTTTGTGATGATCCACTACGTCACCCTATTTGTGGCATAATGAATAGAGTGTTTGACTTGGAGTCAGAAAGACCTGAGTTCAAATTGAGTCTCAGATACTCATTAGCTGTGTGACCCAGGATAGGTACCGAGATTTCTCATCCTCAGTTTCTTCAACTATAAAATGAGGATAATAATAGGATCCACCTCCTGGGATTATTATGAGGATTAAGTGAAATTATCCTTGTAAAGTGTTTTGCAGACTTTGAGGAGTTACATACATTCTTTTATTATTTGTAAGCCACGGTGGACAAAGCCATGAACTTGGAGTTGGAAGATCTGAGTTTGATTCCTCCCTCTGCCATTTATCAGCTGTGTGACCATGGGGAAGGTCACAACCTCTTCAGTAGGGGGGTGACTAGAGCTCTGGTCCAACTCCCCGATTTTGCAGTGTAGGAAACTGAGGCCCCAAGAACTCAAACTTTAGACTGTAAATCCAATCCTCCTTCCATTACACTTGGAATGCACTCCCAATTTACCTCCACCTCTTAGAATTCCTTGTTTCCTTCCAATCTTTGCTCTAGCTACAACACCCATCACAGAAAGCCTTTCCTGATCCCCCCAGCTACTGATGCCCCCCAAATTATGCTGAATTTATTGATTTTAAATATGATTTATATATACATATTACCCACATGTTGTCTCTCCCTCCCCTCCCCCCACCTGAACGTAAACTCCTTGAGGACAGGGACGGGTTCGTTTTTTGTCTTTTTTATTTCCAGCACCTACTATGGTGCCTGGCACATGATAGGTGTTTTATAATGCTTTCTGACTGATCATTCAATTGATCTAAGGTTCCTTCTAGTTCTAGGCCTATGATTATAGCCCAGTGCATGGCACATAGGAGGTATTAAATCAATGTTAATTGACTGACGTCTGAGACTCTGTGCAGGAGGGAACAGGGGTAGAAGTGCACAGTGAGGTGACAGTAGTCACACATTCCACTGAAGTAGGGCTTTCATCCATTACCACACATAGCAACCCCCTCCTATATTTGTACCTATGATCTAACTGATTCAGAGTCAGTGGCGCTGTTATTCTGCAGCCAAGACATCTTGCACAGAACTTCATACTTTGACCCTTATACTCTGACCCTGCAGTGTCTGTGGTCCCCTCCTCAAATGAATCATCGTGTGACTTTGTTTCTGAGTTGGACTCTTAGAGAGGAACAACTTCTTAGGAGAATTTGGACCTCTTCAGGTGGGAGAGGCCCCCAAGTCTGTCACTCTCAGTAGGAAGCAGGAAGAAAGGGATGAAAGAAAACTTGTCTAAGCTGATCAAGTTACCAGGATGCTGATAAGAGCTCTTCCAGACTAGATTACTTGGGTTTTCATCTCAGAACATTGATATATCTTTGAGATCTCCAGGTGCCTCCAAGAAGTGGGAAAGAAGATGGTACCCTGTCAAGTGATCATATGTCTATGTAGATAAAGAAAGGATGGCAATGGGGCAGCTAGGTGGTACAATGGATAGAGCACTAGCCCTGGAGTCAAGTGGACCTGAGTTCAGATTTGACATCAGATATTTACTAGCCGTGTGACCTTGGGCAAGTTGCTTAACCCTTATTGCCTTAAAAAAAAAAAAGTTGGGGCAGCGAGGTGACACCGGCCCTGGAGTCAGGAGGACCTGAGTTCAAATCCGGCCTCAGATACTTACTAGCTAGCTGTGTGATCCTGGGCAAGTCATTTAACCCTCATTGCTTAAAAAAAAAAAGCATGGCACTCTAAACCTGGAGTCAGAAGACCTGGATTCAAATCATGGCTCCACCATTCATTATATTAATAGTGCACTATGAATGAGGTACTTGAAGCTCTCAGCCTCAATTTTTTTACATGTGAAATGGGGATGACCAACTTTGCTGTGACAAAGCATTCTATAAGTTATAGTTAAATAATGTGAACTTTTTCATAGCACTGCATTTCAAATTTGCTTTTCTGAAACATTGCTTATAATACCAGAGATAGGCTCCTGACAAGTAATGGAGCAAATCTAGAAAGAAAATGTTTAGCAGGAAATTTAGCAAACTCATCAGGAAAGATTTACATTGAAGTTTGAAATTAGGAGAAAAAAAAAACAGAAAACATTGAAACCTGATGATATAGAGACCAATACATACAATATAGCTAGCAAGTTGTATCATGGTGAAAGGGGTAGCCAATAATTTGCAGGTGTAAATAACTTAAGAGTTCAGAAACAGTCTGAGGCATAGAATATTGGTAACAAGTAATGTTACCTTGAAATATTAATATAAGGCGGCAAATGCCATCTCATAGATGTAACTGACTTGGTATGGTAGGACGCATGACTGAAACAGGGCAATGGAGAGGAGTATATCATGTTTGAAAGAAACAGAGCAAATAGAAAGAAAAAGTAAAACTGTATCACAGGTAGATATATGCTCATCTGGAAATCTACAAGCCTGAGGCTGGCACAGTTGAATGGTGAGGATAAAAGGAGACAGAAGCAAAAGTGATAAAACTATGAGAGTTCTGTTGTAGATAGCTCAGTCAGATGAAGGTGGTAGATAATGCTTCCCTAATATAGACCATAAAGCTGACAAGGAGGTAAAATGCACTTGTTTTAAAGGGACATATCAACTATTTGGGCATTTTTAATGTCTAAATTTAATTTGAATTAAACAATATTAATGGTAACAACAAATTAAGCAACAAATTTAATTCAGTTCAATGAACATTTTAAAGTACCTACAATGTGTAAGTAACTGTGCTAGGAGATGGTAGTATCATTCTACTAAAAGCAGATACTTTAATACTAAAAGCAGAACCTCTGAAAAATTCTTGACAACTTCATAGTTCAGGCAGTAGAGAAAATAATGCTACTTGACTTAATTCTGACCAACAAGGAAGAACTAATTGTTGCTACAGAAATAAAAAGAACCTGAGTCATTTTGGAATTTGTAATGCTAAAGGGAGGGAACTCTGAGTAAAACCAATCACTCAAGGCATGAGCATCTTTGGGCAACAATATTTATCAACCACATATGCACCCAATGTAGTATATCATGAATCAGTGGAAAAAACCCAAGATTTTGAGTTAGGACATCTATTTTCTTCCATATGGCTTTGGGCAAGACATTTAACTCCTTTCTGAACCTCACTGTCCTCTTGTATAAAATGCAGATAAGAAAATTTATGCTTCCTATCCCAGAAGGGTTATAGAGAGCAAAGCACTTCATAAACCTTGAAGTGCTATAGGAATATGAATCAATCAGCTGGCAAGCATTTATTAAGCACCTCTTAATACTGGGCATTGCACTACGCTCTAGAGATACATACAAAACCAAAAGTGAATTATTATTGATGTCAAAAAGTGTCACAAAACAGAAAGACTTATCAGGAGAAGCAAATAAGGATTGCAAAACAGATTAAATAACACAGAGGTTCATTCAAAACAAAACATCCATTTCCTAGAATCAGGACAGAAATGCAAGATGAAAAGAGAGGCATGACTTTGGAAAATGCTCCATCCATCCTTCTTCCTTCACACAATCTCTTTTTCCAGAAGCTCTTAGCCCCTAGGAGAAGCATTATCTTGGAAAACTTCCTTTGGGGAAAAACAATCTTTTCTCTTTTCTAACATCTCATCCTTTCTCCATTCCCACCTTCTTTATTACAGTAGGTACCAGGTGTATTTCCAAGGTTCTCCTCCCTTCCAAAACCAACTTAATTAGTAAACAGAATAGGCAGCTCCCTAATGTGACTTGAGAAGTAACATGAAGCTCCTAAAAAGTATTGCATCCAAGCTCAGTGTTATCAGGATGCTTGGAATCATATTATTAGTATCACACTGTTCTCCAATGCAGAATATCTTACAACTTTAAATGTCTGTTGTTAAAATATAAATGTCTCATGGGAAGAATGATACCTCCCTCTCCATTTTCATCTTACTCCTTTGGGGAGGATTATGATTATAACAACCAATGGATGTTGGGTAGTATAGTATGAAAAAATAATTGGTCCTGAAGTCAGGAGACCTGGGTTCAAATCCTGTCACTGACACTTAGCTAGTTATATCACCTTAGGCAAGTCATTTAACTTCTCTGAGACTCGGTTTCCTTATTTTTAATACAGGGACAATAATACTTACATGACCCATGTGACAGGATTTTTATAAGGAAAATGTTTCTATACCTTGAAATGCTATAGAAATAGTGGTTGTTTATATGATATGAGTAAGGTTTTTGGAAACAGGACCCAGGAGAGACACATTCAATATGAGGATGGGGGGAGAGAAATACTCATAAGCCAAGGCCACATTTCACTTGCCTCACTATTTTGTTGAGGCCTGACTCCATTATCCATCATTAATATTTTTTCAAGTTATCTTTTTTACTGGACAAAATCTGGGATCTTGAATGATCTCAAAATTGATCATGCACGTACCATGCATCTGTCTCAAGGCTTTGGTCATCTCGGCAATGGATGTCTTCAGCTTCTTCAAGGCCTGGAGTAGGTCATCGTCACTGGACTGGAGGACTGAATTTATGGCCTGAGCCAGTGCCTGAGGGACAGATGGTGGTAAAGGACACATCTTGAGGGTTTGGGTAAAGTTGCTAGGGGCCCCCATAGCATCCCCTCTATCTGATTCCCTGCCTTGTATCCTGCTTAGGTGCTGAGATCCATCCTGCATCTACATCAAGATATCCCTACAAACCCACTGGTAGCCCATCTATGTTGAGGGCGTTTCTGAGAGGCAGCATGAATTTGAATCAGAAGGCCTAAATTCCACTCTCAAATCTAACACTTCCTAGCTGCATAATTGCAGGAAGTCAATGGTGGGAGGTGGGAAAGATGTACATGAGCATCTGCTCTCCAAAAATCTGGCCCTGGGGGAGGCATTATCTCTTCACTTTTTAGAAGAATGGGTCCAGACTCTCCAGAGAACCGACACCCTCCAGGAAACCCTTTCTCCTTCAGTCAAAAGGTTGCAGTTCAGGAATTGCCAGCCTCTTGGATGTGAGGTTCCCCTTTCCTTAGCTTGTCTCTGTCAATATTGGCAGCTGTGTCCTCTACCAGAAACCTTGTCTAGTATGAAGGTTTAAACCTGCCATTACGAACTTTGTAGTTAAGTACTCTGTGCTCCATAGCACCATCTTCTGGTGCATCAGGGCCCTCCTCTAAGGATAGGAATGAGAACACTTACAACTGCAACGTGCCTCTGCTTTATTACATGGAACACAAGGTGCCTATGCTAACTCTAGTGCCATCTCCTACAAGAGGGGGCCACTCTTCATTCACCCAGTGCTTAGGGTATTCTTCAGCCAAAACTGGCTTATAGGTTTTGTAATTCTTGAACAGCACCTCCCAGCTTCTTGGGAATAAGAGCCTCTTGCATGTGGCTTCATTCCAAGAAAAGCACCAAGGAATTGATGCACAAAATAAGGGCATAAAAGAAGAAAATAAGGCAGGACAGCATAAAGAATACTGGCTCTGGAGTGAGAGGACCTGAGTTCAAATCCTACCTCTGATAATTGCTACCTGTATGACATCTTGCAAATTTCTTAGCCTTCTTATGCTTCTGTTTCCTCAGCTGTAAAATAAGGGCATTGAACCAAATGGCTTCTTCCCATTCCAGAACTCTGATCCCATTCTTGCCCTTTCCTCTTTATTATTTCCATGCTTTATTAGGACAGTATAAATATAAACGGGAAAGGAATTGCCTCTCCAGCAATCCAAAGCTCCTTTCCCTTCTGGGGAAGTTGAGAGTCTCTGCGAGTCCCTTGGATAATAGTGAAATTCAATGAAAAGTTGGTCAGGGTGGGAGGAAGGATTAGAATCTCTTCTTCATAATCCAGTTTTATTTTCCTTTCCAAGGCAGTCTAAACCACAAGACAATATTTTGATTATAAGGGAGTAACTTAGGGAGAATATGGCACTTGTAGGAAGAGGAAAATTACATTAAGTGTTTACAGGTGATTGTGAATCATTTATATGCTTTCTGTAGGTTCTGTGGGAGTGATAGAAAAGTTGTCCTTACCTAATATCCTTCTTTACCTTGAGTATTTATAGAACTAGAGACTCTTTTACCCCTATCTGTGGAGGACTAGATACAAATTATATTTGAACTTGATTCTGAGGACCCCAAAGGAAACTCTAGGACAGGAATGGGGAATCCATGGCCTCGAGACCGCAGGTTCCCCACCCCTGCTCTAGGTAACAATGTTGTTGTTTAGTCATTTTTAGTCATGTCTGACTCTTCATGATCTCTTTTGTGGTTTTCTCGGCAAAGATACCAGAGTGATTTGCCATTTCCTTTTCCAGCTCATTTTACAAATGAGGCAACTGAGGCAAACATGGTTAAGTGACTTGCCCAGGGTCACACAGCTAGGAAGTGTCTGAGGCCAGATTTGAACTCAGCTTTTCCTGACTCCAGAACCAGCATTGTATCCACGGCGCAACTTAACTACCCAAGGAAGTGATAAAATGAGCCAACTAGAGAATGAAGGAGCAGAGGAGTTTTTCCAAGATTGAACTCAAGTCTTTATAAGCCCAGAACTGGGAGCTAAGCCATGATGAGAAAGAAAGAAAGAAAGAAAGAAAGAAAGAAAGAAAGAAAGAAAGAAAGAAAGAAAGAAAGAAAGAAAGAAAGAAAGAAAGAAAGAAAGAAAGAAAGGAAGAAAGGAAGGAAGGAAGGAAGGAAAGAAGGAAAGAAGGAAGAAAGAAAGAAAGAAAGAAAGAAGGAAAGAAAGAAAGAAGGAAAGAAGAAAGAAAGAAAGAAAGAAAGAAAGAAAGAAAGAAAGAAAGAAAAAAAGAAAGGAAGGAAGAAAGGAAGGAAGGAAGGAAGGAAGAAAGGAAGGAAGGAAGGAAGGAAGGAAGGAAGGAAGGAAGAAAGGAAGGAAGGAAGGAAGAAAGAAAGAAAGGAAGAAAGGAAGGAAGGAAGGAAGGGAAGAAGGAAGGAAGGAAGAAAAAAGAAAGGAAGGAAGGAAAGAAGGAAGAAAGGAAGGAAGGAAGAAAGAAAGGAAGAAAGGAAGGAAGGGAGGAAGGAAGGAAGAAGGAAGGAAGGAAGAAAGGAAGGAAGGAAGGAAGAAAGGAAGGAAGGAAGAAAGAAAGAAAGGAAGAAAGGAAGGAAGGGAGGAAGGAAGAAAAAAGAAAAAAGGAAGGAAGGAAGAAAGAAAGGAAGGAAGGAAGGAAGGGAGGAAGGAAGGAAGAAGGAAGGAAGGAAGGAAGAAAAGAAGGAAGGAAGGAAGAAAGAAAGGAAGGAAAGAAGGACAGAAGGAAGGAAGGAAGAGAAAGAAAAAAGGAAAGAAGGAAGAATTACATATATATGTATATGTATATACATACTTTGAAAAATATACAAAGTTACTATGACAAACATATGTATATGTATGTAGTGCACATGTAGGTATATGTATACCAATGTATGCTGTGTAGTATATATGCATCTATATATGTAGCGTGTTTATATATGTCTATGTATGTGCATACATATACTTGTGTATGTACATCTACACATTTGTATGTATACACACATATATGTTATTTGTTTATATGTATATGTGTATATATTTGAATTTGCTGGGCACAGGGTAGAGTTCTAAGGTGCCCTAAGGTCTGTAGCTGCCCTGACAAGGACCAGGGAAAGTGGACATACTTAAAGATCCAAATTCTTATAAAAGGGGGAAAAAAGGTCAGTATAGAATGACCTAATTCTGTTTTCAATGCCAATCTCTTACTAGGGAGGCTTCAGTCAGGGTAAAAAAAAAACTAATTAGAACGGAATTATAAGCAGAACTTTAGATTTGTACAAGTCTGATATGGGAAGAAATAAATGGGTGACCTATATAAAAGCCATAAGATATTTAAATACCATTCATTCTGACACTCAGTCATTTTCCAACATCATAACTCGAAAGAGCACTTGGGAATATCTATTTAATCCAACCTCCCCTGTTTTACTGATGAGAAAACTTAGGCTTGGAGAGGGGTCATGATTTATTCAGGGTTGCACAAGGAATACATGCTTCAGATGTCGATTCTTTTACTTTCAGATCCAGAGGTTTTCTAATATGCCACTGACTGCTATCCTTACCCTTCATGTGCTTTGTTTTATTTTTTAACTATTTCAGAGTGTCTTGGAAGGGAGGAAGTGTGTCTCTCACACTTACTACAAAGTCCTTACAAACACTATCTGGAATCAGGGAATCAGATCTGAATAGATCTAGTTCATCTAGCTTAATCCATACCTGAATATTTCTCCCTTTACAATGTCACCAATAAGTGACCATCCAGTCTTGATTTAAGGACCTCCGGGGAAAAGGAATCTCCTGAGCCTATTCCTCTTTGGGATAGCTCTGATTGTTAGGGCATCTTTTCCTTGTATAAGGAAAAAATTTGTCTCTCTGAAACTTTCTTTCATTGTTCCTCTCTCAATCCTCTGGTGCCAGGCAGCATAAATCCAATCACTCCTCCATATAATGGTATTTTCAATTATTTGAAGGCTAGTATCAGATCCAAAGAAATAGCATATCATGATAGATAGAGAGCTGGCTTCAGAAAAGGGATGACCTAGGTTTAAGCCTTACTTCCTGCATATCAGTATTATTGGCTGTGTGACTCTGGCCCAGTCACTTAACTTTTAAACACCTCAGGTAAATCTCTAAGATTAGAAGGTACAGAGCAGGTGATCATCACGAGTGGTAGATAAAGCTTCCTCAGTTAGCCCAAAGATGAATTGTTAATGAATGAGAGAGTCAGACCTCAGCCTCATGATACCCATTTTGGCATCCTTTACACCTCCTTGTCTTTCTGGTAAGCTTCCTGAGGCCAGAAACCTTGTCTTAAACTTTATTACTTGACAGAGTTGGTCATGGTGCAAAGCAGGTACTCAATGTATTCTTGTTGAATTGGGTTAGGGCAACAACCTGTCATTGTCATTCGACTTTTAAAAAAGTATACATTTTTTTAAATCAGCAAAACTCTGCTTTCTTACCTTCCTACCTGAAATCTCACCCCACTCCTTCAACTTGAGAACTAAAGAAAAACAAATTCTGTTACAAACAGATATAGTCTATCAAAATAAATGTCCACATTGGCCATGTCCTATGTCATATGTACATGCACATATATGTGCACGTATGTGTAATCTCTTGATATATTATATGTGTGTATATGTCTCTTCATATATACATATTTGTCTCATTCAGCACTCTAACTCTGCCTCTATCAGCATGTTTTATCACTAGTCCTCTGGAATCCTGGTTGGTCATGATACTGATAAGACTTCCTGGTTCTTTCAAAGTCATTTGCCTTTACCAAATTACTGTCATTGCATAAATTGTTGTTGATCTGGTTTTGTTCACTTCAATCTGCATCAGTTCATAGAAATCTTCCAAGTTTTCTCTGAAGCTATGCCTTCATCATTTCTTACATCATAATAGTATTCAATCACATTTATATACTATAACTTGTCCTTCCATTCCCTAATTGATAAGGACTCCTTCAGATTCTCATTCTTTGCCACCTCAAAAGAACTATAAATATTTTCATATATCTTGTAGTTTTTTGGGGGGTTTTGTTTTGTTTTGTTTTTGTTGAGGGTTTAGTATGTCTCTTAAGACCTTAGCTTAAAAAAGCCAAGGTCTCCTGCTGCATCCAGGGTCATCTCTAGTCACAGTAGACCCAGATGGCTCTGGAAGAGAAAATGAGGCTGGTGACCTTGCACAGCCCTCCTTCACTCAAATCAAAGTCAATTTCAGGTCATGACATCAACTCCCTCATGTCATGGTCCTCTTCAAGAATGAAGGACAAAAGGTGATTGGTATATCCTTTCTATTTCCACTTTAACCTCTGGTTTGAAGAGATGTGAGTAGTTTTCTTTTAAGATTTCTTGAAATACAAGGTTTAAGCTATTTTTTTTTGCCATGGCATTCAAATACTCCAATGCTTAAGTTTTTCCCCCTCAATTTGTTTTCCAGATTATTTGTTTTTACAATGAGATACCTTATGTTTTCTTCTATTTTTCTAGTCTTTTGACTTTGTTTTAATATTTCTCATTGTCTCATGGAATCATTGGCTTCTATTTATTATATAATATAATATATATATTGTACTTATTATACCAAGCTGCTGATTTCCTTTCCAAGTTTTTTTCTTCCGTATTTTTCATTTCTTTTTCAATCTTCTCTTCAAGTGCTCTCACTTCATTCATTAAAAAAAAATTTTAACTCTTGTTTCCAGAGATAGTTCCAAGAATACTCTTCCAAGACATTTAGTTGAATTTGTACCCAAGCTGTGTTTTTCTTTGAGGCTTTGCTTACAAATGCTTGAGAGTCATTTTCTTCCATATTTGTATCCTGAGCATCCCTGTTGCCACAATAACTCATTGCTTTCTTGGGATATTGAGTGGTAGGTTATTCTTATATAGGCTGGGGACCTGCAATCTTTCAATGCTCTCAAAGTAGTCTGATCTAGGCAAAGTCTGATCACTGCCCCTCTGGTTTGGGCTTTGCAAGTTCCTGGGTTTGGTTCTGAGCAAGAAAAAACCACCTCTAGACTCAGCTTCTTTCAGCCAGCTAGCCAGCTGGTTCACAGTGACAAAACTGTAAATGCAGCTTTGGTTTGAGATTCCTGCCCTGGGATTCCTCTGCTGCAGGTCTGGCTAGATGCTGGAACTGAGACCCTGCTCTGCTCCTGTCACCTGAACCGAGCCATTGCTGCTCTAGCTTCTGAATGTCCTCCTTTTTCTGTACATTGTGTAGGGCTTCCCTGCTGGGGAAAGTCTCCTCCAGTAGGGATTTAGGACCTCCTCTTGCCTTGGTACACAGCCTTTGACTGAGCACTGAGGTGCTCATATATAGTGTGTTCCTGCCCCAATACAGTCCACAGTATTTGCAGACCTTCCTTTCTATCTCCCTGTGCTGACCTGGGTCAAACAAAGGACTTGCTGATTCTGTCTAGTGCATTTTCTAGATCTGTTTAGAGGAGTTCTGCAGTTGGAGTTCAGCTATCTTGCTTCCTACTATCTGCCCACTTGGCTCTACTCCACTCTCATTCACCCTTAACAATAGACCCCTGTGTTATGCTCTGGGAGGATACAAAGATTAAATAAGATGCCAGCCTCATGAAGCTCTCAGTTTAGTAGCTGGCCATGCCGCCTAACCAAATACTATAAAATACTTCACGATAAGTACATGTTTAGTGACTGTTATCACAAAAAGTTATGTCCCTAGCCAAGTAGAATTTGAATAGTCTGAATGGTCAAGTCATTCAATAGACAAGCACTTATTAAGCCCCTGCTATGGGCAGGTTCTGGATTAGATGCTGGAGATACAAAGACTTAAGTGAAACAATCCCTACCCTGAAGTATTTTATGTTCTGATGGGGAAGACCACACACAGAAATATACTTAAGTATATATCAATAAAAATAATAAAGTAAATAATATTGGGAGAGAGCACTAACAGCCAAGGGGATCAGGAAAGGCTTCATTAAATCCCAACTGGAAATAAATTTAGGAGAGTATTCAGTTGTCAGGAGACCCAGAATCTGGTCCCACATTGACCACTAGATGGCAGGATAAACCTTCACATCTCTAAGTCTATTTTCTCATCTGTAAATTGGTCAAAATAATAAAAGTTCTTCCTATCTCTCAGGGCCATTGTCAACCCTAAAGTTCTATATAAATAGGAGTGGTTATTAAGTTACACCAAACCACTCTGGGGGTTTGTGAGGAAAGTGGCCAGGAGAGGTCAGTGTCTGCAGAGAGCATACTTAGGGAACAGAGTGAAGCTGGGAAATATGTATGTAGATCATGGGATGAAGGAAGACGCGAAGCAGTTTTAAAGTTGGAAGGAACCTTAGAGATCATTTAATCAATATCCTAAATTTACCAATAAAAGTAACCAAGAGATTGAATGATTACCCCAAATCACAGAAATAGTAAAGAGAGCCTACATTCAAATCATCTTAAGTCAATCCTAGTGCTCATTCTACTACCCCCATCCCTATTCCAAGTTAAACTAAGTCCAATTTTTACTTCTCAATCAACAAAAGTCTTTTTGAGTGTCTGCTACATAGAAGGCATTATCCTAGGAGGTATGTAGAATGCAAGAAAGTATAAGACATAGTTTTTGCCCTCAAGGAGCCTAAAAACTAGATGAAGAGACAGGATAGCTAAGGGGTGTGCTGGCAAAAGTTCAACAATCAGCTCTCTGAAAACCCATGACACATTTTTAAGTTTGATCTTCATTATTAGCATTTTCACCATCAAGTCTAGAAAATCAAGAAAACAATAAATCACACCTTGATTTATAGTATCTTCTCACATGTAAATGCTCATACTGAAAATTTAATAATCAGTTCAAGCTAGCTCCAGCATACCCCTGGATCATACTCCCCAAAAGAGAATTAGTCATTGAAAGCAGTATACAGCAGGGCCAATGAGGGGTAAATCATTACTCTTAAAAATAAAGTCAGAAAAAAAATAATAAAAAATAAATAAATAAAATAAAGTCAGGTATGACACTAGTTTCTTGTGTCTTGTAACACCTTGTATCATTAAGATAAGTGTTCGTGTGCCTCCCTCCTGACTGAAAATAAACGGAATTAAATGAATTACGTTTGAATTGGGGCAGTGGGTTTGTAACTGGATACAAAGAATAACAGTGTAAGAATCATAGACTCATGGGGCATGCACTTAGAGATAGAAGAGAGCTTACAGGTAAACTGATCCAATCCCATCATTTTGTGGATCAGAAAACTGAGGCTTATAGATTCCAAATGATTTATTAAAAGTCATACAGATACTAAGGATCAAAGGCTGGGTTTTGAACCCATATGCTCCAAGGAAGTCCAGAATGTTTCCTCCTGAACTATGTTGTTTAGTTCCGAATACCACTAACTTACTCTGTGATCCCATCTCTGACATTTAGTAAGCGATCTGTTGCAAAGCATCTCGCCCCTCCAGGCCTCAGTTTCCTCATTTGTAAAAAGAGGAACTTAGAAGCGTCTTTGAGCTCTAGATCTATGCTGCTAGGACTATGAGTTCTCTAGACTCTGTAGGTTTCCTTGTCTTGTAAAATTAAGGTTAATTTCATTTCAAAGAGCTCGTCCAGCTCTACCACTCTGTGTTCTCTCTTCTAACATCTTGCATTGTAAGGTCCCATCCAGCCATAATATTCTGTATAATTCTCTGTGTTCTAAGGTCCCTTCCAGCTCTGACATTACTTGAATTTAAGTGCTTTAGTTTAATGGAAGGCAAAATCACTAGGGAGTTGAGTCTTGGTTCTCTGAGTGGCCATAAGTAACTGCTGGAAGCTGGCAGAGAATATTGGAAAGGCAAACTGTAGATGTTGGGGACCAGGGCTGAAAGAAGCTATCAGGCTGACATCTACAGATAGAGTAAGGTTCTGGTTGGGGAAGTACCTTAATCCCAGGCACTGCTGCCTTCTCCACCAAAAGAGTCACTAGGACAAAGCCCTTCAGGCTCTCACCTCCTGGAAGTGAGACAATGGTGTCCAGGTTCCTTGAGAAAAAAAATCACATGCTCAGAGAACAATGCACCTTCTCCTTCCCCCTTCCTCTTCTTCCCCTGAGTCTGACTCTTCTGCTGCTTCTCAAAGCAATCCAGAAGCCCAAGATCTCAGAATTTTGAATTGGAAGGGACCTCTGTGGCCATCTAAGCCCTTCACCAATAACAATAATTATTATTCTATTTGAAATAATTCCTAATTATTATTCTGTTCCAAGTAACTCTAACATTTATATAGCTTTTTAAGTTTTGCAAAGCAATTTACAAATATTATATTATTTGATACTCATGACAACTCTGGGAGATAGGTGCTATTATCACCCCCATTTTGCAGATGAGGAAACTGAGGAAGACAGAGGTTAAGTCACTTGTCCAAGGTCACAGAACTGGTCAGTGTCTGAGGCCAGCTTTGAACTCCAGGTTCTGTGACCTGTCCACCGTACCACCTAACTGCCTCTAAAAATATCCTGGGGCAGCTAGATGGTGCAGTGGATAGTACACCAGCCCTGGATTCAGGAAGACCTGAGTTCATATCTGGCCTCAGACACTTGCCACTTACTAGCTGTGTGAACCTGGGCAAGTCACTTCATCCCATTGCCTTGCAAAAAAAAAAAGACTGTGAAATAAAAAAAAATCCTAATGACAAAATACCTGACAAATGCTCACTGAGATCCAAACTGTTACTTTCTGAAAAAGCCCAACCCACTTTTGAATAGTTCTGCTATAAAAATTTTTCCTACACCAGACTTAAATTTGTTCTAGTCTTGTTGCTAGGATCACCAAAACCAATCTAATCACTCTTCCATAGGACAGCCCATTAAACATTTAAGGAGAAATATAATTTACTCCTCCCCATTAACCCCATTTCTCTTCACCAGATAAACATCTCCACTTTCTTCCATCAGGGTTTATTTAACAAAGACTCAAGGTCCTTCACCTTTCTGGTTGCCCACCTCTCTGGTCAGTTTCAAACTTGTCAGTATCCTTGCTCAACTAGGGCATCCAGATCCAAACACAATGCATTAGGGTAAAATATGGCATGACTGTTACCCCCTTATTGCCAAAAGTTGTTCCTCTATCTCGGTTTCCTCATCCTTCAAACAGGGATAATAACACCTAGCCTTAAAACTCCACCAAGTCATTGGGAGTTTCAAAGAACACAATGGATGAGAAAGTGCATTATAAAATGTTAAGTAGCACATAGAAATAGAAATGTAGAGTGTGGTAATTACCTGATTTCCAGTGGTCTAGTCAAGTTCCAAGTATTGGCCAAAAAGATTTAAGTTAAAAAAAATATGAAGAATTCAATATAAGAAACAGTATTAAGCACCAACTACATGCAGTAATTAAATATACCCCCTCCCTCTCTCACATGTACAGATTTACAAAGCTTCTATTTCACAGGACTTGACTAGTACCTACATTCAGGGAGCTGGGGAAAGAGCCTCTGCAAAAAGTGAGTGGGAGACAGAGACACAAAAAGACAGAGAAAAGCAGACTGAGATAGAGATAGACAAAAATGAAGAGAGGTAGAAATCCAGAGACAGAGATAGAAAGGATCATAGTGGGGGTAATCTGCCAGAGCAAACAGGAGGAGACGGGATCAAACGCCCTCTACAGAGGCTGGCCTTGTGAAGGAGAAAGGGCACCTTTTCATCTGCAGCTCTGTCTCACTTAAATCCAATTCACAGGTATGTCAAGCCATCATCCCATGATGCCATTGGTCTTCTTTGAAAACAAAGGATGAACAGCAAAGGAAAAGATAGTGGGGTAAGATGTCTCAGTGAAATAAGTGAGATGAGGAGGAAGGAAGAATGCAGAGCTCACAGAAAATGATCTCTCTCAATTCTTTTCTGTGACAGATACGAGGGGAGGACCTCAATGGAGTTGAGTGAGGGAAAAAAGTGTCATGGTAGACTTGAGGAGACAAGAATAGGTTCGGAAAAGCCATCGTAGATAGTGGAGTAGTAAATCTAGTGGGCAGGTATAGAAGGACTGACTTGTTGAGCTTAATTTGTAGTGATTTTTTTTTTGGTGATTTTTGTGAATTTCTTCTAGCTCCATTGGACAACATATGAATAGAAGTGAAGGAGGAAGATTGGAGGAATAACCAAAAGTTAGGATTTGGTCAGTCAGCAATAAGACAAAGGGCACAGGAATTAAGAGTTGAGGATAGTGTGAATTGAGCTGGTTCCCCAAGGAGTTAAGATAGGGAGGTGAAGAGAGCATAGCCAGTGCAGGAGCGATGGCTGAAGAAAGAATTTAAGAGTGGGGCCAGCAGAGAGAATGAAGATTACAATGAGTATGCAGAGTCAGGTTATGTGTTGTAAGGCATAAACATGGAATGATAAAATATTATGATCAGATAAAGTTACATTAGAGTTTATGAACATGGAAGTGAAACATCTATAGGTGATGGCAAGATCATGGGTATGATCTCTGTTTGTAGCTGAAGCAGAGTGGAGGAGTAGGCCAGAGGAACTGAGTAGAATCAGTATGTGTATTCAAGTACGGTATATGAGGGCAGGAAGTAAGAGCATGTGTCTTCTCCTTTTCAGGAAGGGATATGGAGCCAATTGCCTGGTAGGCACCTCAAGGCACTTCCAAAACCAGTCTACTGAAGTCTCTTATAGGCAGGATCCATGAGCTGAAGCTGATTGCCACCACAATGGACACAAGGTGAAGCCAGCTGAGGATTGAAAATGCTTGACTCAAATGGATGAGCAAGCAACTTTTGAGGTGGTTTTTTTTTAATGGAATTAATGCATGCCCCTAGACTTTAAATGAAACATTCTAGGAGCAGGGTTTGGACAGAGTGGGTTTTTGCAAATTGTTTGAATTGTGAGAACATAGCTCAAGCTTTGATTGCCACCTTGTGACTGGGATTAATATGGCATTCTGTAGCAACTGAAATAATCCTTTCTAGGGCAAGCAACACTTGGTTCCTCATGGAAGCAAGGCTGTTTCATATGTGAATATAGCATCAAATTGAGTTCTAAATCAGCTACCAGTCTAGTATGACTGGAATACAGAATAAACAAAATTGGGCTGAAAAGGTAGGATGGTGGTAGATAGTGGGAAATCTGAAAGACCATGAAGAGTTTGTGTTTTATCCTTGAGGCAATAGGGAGCCATTGAAAGCTTTTGATTAGAGGACTAACGGTCAGACTTGAGCCTTAAGAGGATTTATTTTGGATGTTATAAGGAGGATGAGTTGAAGAAACGAAAGACTCAGAACACGGAGGCCAATTAGAAGTGTATTACAATAATCCAAATGAAGATTTGAATGTGAATAAATTTGAATAAGTGATGATCTCATGGTTGGGGAAAAGAAGAAAAAAAAAGAGATAAATATTATGAAGGCAGAATCAACAGGACCTGACAATGGAGGCTAGTAGTGCCCCACTAGAAGTAGGGAAGTTTGAACAAGAGAGGGGTTTAGAAGGAAAGATTTCCAGTTCCAATTTGGGTATTTTGAGTTTAGGATGCCAGTGCAATATCAAATAGAGACATCCAGCAGGAAGCTGTTGATGAAGAAATGGATTGAGGGCACATATGTGTTTGTGAGATATGGGAAGGAGAGAGAGAAAGAAAAGGAAGAGAGAGAGAGAGAGAGAGAGAGAAAGGGGGGGAGGAGAAACAGACAGAGAAGAGATGGACAAAAAAAAACTCAGAAAGACAGAGGGGGGAGGAGAAGGGGGAGTGAGAGAGGGACAGGAAGGTAATCCTGAATTTGTTATAATACTTGGTGCACATGCGAAATTTCTTGGGTACCAAAAACACAATATTGCTTATATTAGAGGAGTGACTTGAAAGCTGGTTGTTCATTCATTCAGTCATGTTTCTTCATGACCCTATAGGCTTATCCATGAGATTTTGTTGGCAAAGATACTAGAGGAGTTTGCTATTTCCTTCTCCAGCATGTCAACATTTTACACATGAGGGACTGAGGCAAATAGGGGTTAGGTGACTTGTCCAGGATCACACAGCTAGTATGTGTCTGAGGTCACATTTGAACTCATATCATTTTCACTCCAGGCCTAGAACTGTATCCACTGCACCACCTAGTTGCCTCTTGAAGGTTGCTGCAGGGTGCCATACTTGTGAAAGCCACCAGGTGGTGATCAAAGCTTGAGCTACACTAGTTCACTTCAAAATGCACATTTGCAAAAAGTATCTAGCTTCTTAGCTTTGCCCTAGAGCACCTCTAGGTTCCGAATTTAAAGTCTAGGGCAGAGGTGGGGAACCTGTGATCTCGAGGTCACATGTGGTCCTCTAGGTCCTTAAGTGGGACCCTTTGAGTCAGAATTCATAGAACAAATCAATCAAATTGAGACCACCAGTTCCCCACCCCAGGTCTACAGGAATGGATAAACTCCCTAAATGAGTGTCATAATTCTCTTGGGGAATGATTCCACTGACTTAAGTCAATCATTCTCAGTCTACAGATTACCTTCTCTAGAAGTCTAGAGAGAAACCAACTCCACTAATGCCCTCAATTGGTGAGAGTGATGTGAGTGTGCGTTATTTTTGTGGGGCTCAATCTTGCCTTCATTTATTTAGAAAACTTCTGGCAAGGAAACCTCCTCTGCCAATATAGCTTATCATCTACTCTGCTTTTGTCTTACACTCTTAGAAAGCTGTGTAGAAGTCAAATGACTTGCTCAGGGTCACACAGGCAGTATATATCAGAAAGGGGATTTGAAAACAGGTCTTCCTGACTCTAAGACCATCTCTCTATCCCATTTTGCCTTAAAAGGGGGTTTGGGAGTGGGTGGAGATCAGGGGCAAGAAGAATAGGCAATAGGACTAGGGAGCAAGGCTTAAAAGGTGTACAGTATGCCATTTAACTAGAGAACTAAAGGGTCATGATTTAAGAAAGGAAAGTGAGTTCAGAATCATGGGCTGAGCTGGAAGAAGACAGAGGGTTGGAGGTACTGGAGGTCACAGTACGGACAAAGAATAGCTTTAGGAGGAGTAAAACATAAAGATGAAATGAAAGGATTGGGATCAGAAAGGGAGCACAAGCCCGTGGAGGGGCTATGGTTACAGGCAATCTCCTTCCTCACCTCCCAGAACACAGGGTTTCCCTTCAGAAGTGAGCTCAAGTACTTTCTTCTCCATGAGGCCTTTCCAGGTCCCTGCATCTGCTAATGCCTTCCCTTCCTCTCAATTATATGTGGTTTACATCTTTCTCTTTATGAGTTTGATACATCCATGTCATCATGGTCATCATGGTTAATGCAAGTAATGAATCACAGGAAGTAGTCCCATGTATTTGAATTTGCATCATTTGAAGTCATGATTCTGTAAAATATGATTGGTTCCAGCCAAATGGAAACATGGGGTATGAATTCAAATAGTGCCACCACTTCATGAGATTCATAATATTATATGATATTCGTCATATTCTCTGGGGGTCCCAGGGAGTCTTGTCCATACATCTAGATAAAGAAATTATCTAGCAACTAGGATTCCTGGAGGACTGAAATGGACTTATTATGCCCCTATATGCCCCACATCATTTAGTGCACTAAAGAAAAGGGCTCTTTCACTTCCGTCTCTGTATCCCCAAGGTCTGCCATAATGCCTGGCATATTGTTGTTGTTTGTCTTTCATTCTCAGAGGACCAGTGGCATCAGGATGGTGATGTCTTGACTTGCAAGTGAATTGGATTTGAGTGAGGCAGGGCTGTGCAAAGTCATCAGTCTTGATCTCTCCTCCAGAGTTATTGGAGTCCTATGGCAAGACATAGGTCAGGATGACTGGAGATGGCCAAAGATGCAGTGGGGAAACCTTGGCCTTTTTAAGCTAAGATCTTTTCCAGGTCTCAGCTTTCACCTGGCATATAGTAAGACACTGAATAAGGGCTGGCTTCCTTCCTGGATTGCTTGCCCAATGAGATTTAAGGAAGAGCCAATCTGTGAGTAGCAAAGTGAGAGAGAAAATAGAATTCTTTGGAGTTGAGTTAGATAAACTTGGAGAACAGAATATCCATAGGGATATATATAGAGAGAGAGAGAGAGAGAGAATATATATATATATATTGAATATATATATATATATATTCAATATATATATATATATTGAATATATATATTGAAGCCCAGAGGCATAAAGGTAGGGGTAGGAGTGGAGAGAAAGCCTATGAGTCAGATACTGAACTCCATGGAAAGGAGAAAAGAGTGACCTAAAGGTAATAGGAACAAGGGTAAACTAGAAAGATGGAAAAAACCCAAAGGAGAAGTTGCAGAGCACCGGGGAAAAGGGTTTTGGAAAGGGAACAAGCACTTATTAAGTGCCTACTATATGCCAGGCCCTGTGCTAAGCACTTTACAAATATTATCTCATTTGATGGTGGTAGAAGGAGGGTCTGGAGGTGGGATTAGGGAATAAGCAGTAGACCAAGCCCTTCCTGACCCAGCAGTATACAGCACATAAAAGGAATAACCCACACTCGAGATGGTGATGGAGGAAATATTGTCTTCCAAAGAATGTCTGGTTTCTATGCACACCAGAAGATACAAATCTTCTGAGCATGAGATGAAAAGGTCCCCAAGGAAGGGAACTTTACTAATAGTGAGGTTCCAGAGGGTATGAAGGAAGGGGAAGGCAAAGGGAATATGGATTGTGGAGGGATCCAGGCCTGAACAAATGATAACTCTGGATCACAAGGATAAAAGGGGCAGAATGCAAGTGGAGAGAAAAAGATGGAGAGAAGAACCAATTAATCTAGGACCCTGTTTTCCAGGATCAGTACAAGGGCTGGGGGTTTGGCTTCTGGACTTGTCACTCCAAATACCAAATATCCAAATATGGGTATAGGGAACACCACGAACAAAGGTGGCTATTGGGGGTCCCAGGGAGTCTTGTCCATCCATCTGGAAAAAGAACTTATCTAGCAACTAGGATTCCTGGGGAACTAAAATGAACTTATTATGCCCAGAACAATACCTTATGCCAAGATGGTAGAGGACAAAGAACCTGAAGATCTTCTGCCAGTCTTCAGTTCATAAAATCACACATCTGTTAGTACAATGAGTACCTGAAGGCTCATAATCACTTTTCTCTTTTGTTTTTACTATAGCTCTCTTTCTTTGTCTCTGTCTCACATCCACATCACCAGGCATCCAGATCATTCCCTAGGTACCTTCTTAGATGAGTAGTTCAATGTTTTGCAAGGCTTTATATCCACAATTTCCCATGTCTAACTGGATTTCATTTCTTTCCACCCCAGCGGTATTTGCTACAAGACTTACCCATCCGGATCCTTTTTCTTCCAGTTCGTCAGAACTAAATCTGAATGTACCAGGATAGGAGGCAGACCCAAGCTTCGAGAGACTTCCACCAGGGGAAGGGCTAGATTTCTCGGCAGAACCTGTTAGACACAGCACAGGCAGATGTACAGTCTGGAAATCCTGTGGGGCTTGGGGCTTATCATAGGGGCCCCCAGTGGCAGCTGGAGGCAGTCGAGGTTAGAATTAAATCTATCCCTTAAGGTCCTAAATGGCATAATTGGGAACAAGAGGTAGAAAGAATCATCCCTTTCTGTGTCTCTCTCTCTGTCTCTATGTCTCTGTCCCTCTGTCTCTGTCTGTCTGTCTGTCTCTCTCTTTCACACACACACACACACACACACACACACACACACACACACACACACACCATACTAGTTCAGGTCCTCTTGATCATCAACTTGGACTATAGTGAGTTTCAGTCAGATTGTGGAATGACTAGATTGTCAGACTGAGGAATGTATACGTCGTACAAGAAGTGATAGGGAGGGAACCACTGAATATTCCTAAGCAAGGCACAACCTGGTCAAACATGTCCTTAAGAAGATTATTTTTGCGGTTGGATGAAGGATAGATTAAATATAGGAACAACTGTATTGAATATTGGTTAATTAGGAGGATAGTGAGGGCAGGCAGGAAGCTAGGTACCACAGTGAATAAAGAGGTGGACCTAGAGTCAGAAAGACCTAAGTTCAAATTTGGCCTCAAACATTTACTTGCTTTTTAACTCCGGGCAAGTCACTTAACCTCTGTTTGTCTTGGTTTCCTCATCTATAAAAATGAGGCTAATCATATAGTATTTACCTTTCAGCGTTATTGTGAGGATTAAAATGATATAATACTTGTAAAGTGATTTGCAAAGCATTATCAGTGCTAGTTATCACCATCATCATCATCATCATCATCATTATTGATTTTGCGTGCTATGTTATTGTACTAGTAAGACAACCAGATCAAGATTCATGAAGTCTGGATTCTAATAAGTCACTAATTGTGTGACCTTGATCAAACCATTTAATCTCTTGGGATATCAGCTGCCTCATCTGTGAAATGGAGATAACATAAGTCCTACCTTCCAATTGAGATTTTGAGGATCACATGAGACAATACATGTAAAAGTGCTATGAAAAAAGGCCTGCTCTTAACAATTCTTGAGGATTGCTTTGAATCATTCTTCCTTCTGGAGGCCAAAAAATAGGGTGAATGAGCCTGATTTGATAACTCCAATAAGTGGTGCTTGGAACCCTGACCATCTCATTCATCCTATTGGGTGATGGTAGCATCACCACAGGAAACTGAGAAACAGAACGGTGGCATAGAATCTGTCTTGTGAGCTTGAGGCCTATTTACAGTCAGCTTCAAGAAGAGAGTTTAAGCTTCCTACCTCTTACCTTAGGAATGTTGTTCTCTCCTTCCTGCCAGACATATCCCATGGTAATAAAGCTAAGCAGCAAGTGGGCCAAGTACTGTTCTTTACGATCTTTCAGGAGGTGACAGCTTAGTAGGGGCATCTGTCCAAGAAAAATTGTTGAGGTGGGAGAGGAACAGGGAAAAAGAAAGGGAGGAAAAGAATGAAGTCAGGGTTGGGGTGGTGTGATAAAAGCAGAGAGGAAAGATGATGAGAGAGGAAAGAGTACAGGAAGAGAGAGGAATATGGGACAGGACGGGAGAAGAAAAAACAGTCTGGCTTGTTGCTGAGAAACTGAAAAATACTGTGTTCACACACTCCATCCCCTATTCCCTGATCCTACAGCCAGGGGTAGCCCCAGGTGGTACGGGCAGAATAGGCTGGTGATGACAAATTTTCTTTTTTTGTTGTTAATTTTATTAATTTATTTATTTTTGGTTTTCAACATTCACTTCCACAAGATTTTGGGTTCCAAATTTTCTCCCCATCGTGTTTCTCCCCCAACCCCAAGATGGAATGCATTCTGAATACCCCTTCCCCCAATCTGCCCTCCCTTCCATCTCCCCTCCTTCTCTTATCCCCTTCCCCTTAAACCTCTTCAATACAGTGCCCTAAAAACTAAAAGCTTTTTAAAGAAACAAATTTTAATTAAAGGTTGTTTTTCTAGCACCTTGTGATGCCCTTCCTGAACTTGAGAGCGTCCTAGAGTCTCTTACCCTTATCTTGAGATACCATAAACCTTCCTTGTCTCCCTCATCCTGAGTCATAAAATTTCCCATCTTCCTTATCCTGAGTCCCCTATCCTGCCATCCATCTTCCTCACCCTGTGTCATGACAACCCCTCCCCTTATCTTGTAAGACAAAACAGACCCCTGTCCCTCTGTAAGTTGCTAGCTCTCTTTCCAGAGCTAGCCCGCGGCTTTTGCGTCAATGAAGCACTCCATGGTTACAGAGAAGGACTAAGTGAATCCTTTCACACCCGAACCAGCTCTCCCAATTCTAAACCTCAACAGTAGCTGGGAAGACAGGAACAAAGATGAGAGGCAGAAAGGTGAAGGAGAAAGATAGGCAGAGGCAGAGACAGGAGAGAGTGGAGACAGAAAGATCGAAAGTGAAAGTTACCACATCCACTCTGATTCGGAGCTGATGACTCTCAATCATGAGAGGCAAATTGCTGGCTATCTCCATCCAGGGCTTGTAGTAATTGGAAAGTTCTTCCTGCATGTAAAACAAAAGCAAATCCCTCAGTACAATGACCAATTTCAGAATATCCGTTCAGGTTCTGTTATCTAATCACTTCTGGATTTCAGTTTTGAGAATCTAAGAAACAGGCTGTTTCCAGTAAACAGAGTATGAAAGATTTCAAAGCAGTGTTCCTGTTTGGCAAGTTTCCTTACATCACATCTTTAAAAAACAAAATCATAAACACAAAAACAGTAACCATCTGCAACCACAGAAATTCATATGCACAAACAAGAAGAAAACAAGTAACAAAATAATAAACTTCCATAGTTATAGAAAAGTTTAAAATGCATCTATTAACTTTATTGGAGCCATTTGAAACTTATCAAGTTCCACCTTATTTGTTTCCTTGTTCCCTTCTGAATCTGCTTGTATTTTTTTCAAGTTCCACTGCTTTTGTTATTTTTTTTTTAATTGGCCTACATCACCCTTGGGAAATCTTTCAGTCCTTTTAAGAATACAATCCCAAGCCTGTCTCTGAAACAAAGGCTTATCTTTTTAACATAGGTGTTCTTCTGCTGAATAGAATGGTCTTAGAATACTACATTGCTGAAGAATTTGAGTTGAGGGTCCCTCCAAGAGCAGGAAATGGGCACGTGAGGTTACAACCCACCACCAAATAAGCTTTATGTGGGAGAAATAGCAAAAAGATGTCATCAGGGTGAGGTTTGACCAACAAAAAAAAGATGGACCAATAGTCATATAGGGAAAAGTAACAGAAACCTATTTGGTCCATTAGCATCTACCCAACATCAAGGGAGCTTGAAAACTCACAGCAGCACAGCAGCTAGATCCCAGTGCGTGATTCCTTGATTCATTCAGTAAGCATTTATTAAATGTCTAGTAAGGGTCAGGCACTGTACTAGGCACTTGAAAAATATGACTAAAAGAAAATAGTTCCAGCCCTCAAAGAACCTCTGTTCTATTGGGAGAAGGAAATGTATACATAGATAGTAGAGAGTGATTTCAAGGTTGTGCTAGCAACTAAGGAGAAGGTGGGACTCAGGAAAAGACTTCTGTAGGAGGTAGCACTGAGATGACCTTGGAAGGAAGCTAGGGATTCTGCAAGGCAGAGTTGAAGAGGGAGTGGGGAATGCATTCCAGGCATGATATCTGAGATCAAATGGGACAGAAAATGATCAGTGCTGTACAAGGAGCAACAGACAGGTTAGTTTGTCTAAAATGAAGTGTCTATGAAGGAGATTAAAGTGTAATGATATTGCAAAGATTTGGGGCCAGATTTTGAAGGGCCTTAAAAATCAAACAAAGGAATTTATATTTTATTCTACATGTAATAGGAAGCAATGGAGAATGTTTTTTACAGCAGAAGAGCAATGGGGTCAGACCTGTGCTTTAAAAATTTCACTTTTGATATAAGGAAAATTATAAACAACCATATACATAACAAAATGAACAAGATCATAGGATTATGTCAACACATGAAGAAAAAAAAGCTTTTGACAAAATACAACACCCATTTATGTTTAAAACACTAGAAAACAGAAGAATAAATGATCCTTTTCTTAAAATGATAGAGAGTATGTGTTTAAAATAAGTAGCTACCATTACACATATTGGAGATAAACTAGAATATTTCTCAATAAAATCAAGAACAAAACAAGGGTGTCCATTCTTGCCACTTCTATTTGATAAGAGTTCTAGAAATTCTGACTATAGTAATAAAAAAGAATTTGAGGGGAATTGAAAGAAAGAGAAATCGAAGGAATAAGTAAATTGTATGACTATATTTAATCATTATATATATGATTATATACTTCAAGAACTTTAAAGAGTCAATGAAAATTAATTGAAACAATAACTATAGCAAAATTGCTGTTGTTGTTCAGTCATTTTCAGTCCTGTCAGACTCTTAGTGACCTCATTTTGAGGTTTTTTTGGCAGAGATACTGGAGTGGTTTGTCATTTCCTTCTCTAGTTCATTTTACAGTTGAGGAAATTGAGGCAAACAGGGTTAAATTGCTTACCAAGTTAGGAAGTGTCTGAGTCCAGATTTGAACTCAGGTCTTCCTGACTCTAGGCCTAGTGCTCTATTCACTGAACCACTTAGCTGCCTCCATAGAAACTTGCAGGATGTAAAATAAAGTTACACAAATCATGAGCATTTCTATGTAATACCAATAAAACTTAGCAGGAAGAGACTAAAAGAGAAATCCTATTTACAATAACTACAGAATGTATAAAAAATTTGGAAGTCTGACTGTCAAGATACACATGAGAACTCTATAAATGTAACAACAAGCCACTATTTAGAGAAATAAAGACAGACTTAAATAATTGGAAAAATATTAATTGCTCATGAGTAGGATGATTTAATATGATAAGAATGACAACGCTGCCTAAATAAATTTATTTATTCAGTGCCACAGCAATCAAACTACCAAAGGATTACTTTATAGAACTAAAAAAAAAAAACAGAATTATATGGAAACCCAAAAATTTCAAGAATCTCAAGGGAAATAATGAAAAGAAGTGAAAAGAAAAGGGACCTATCAGTGCCAGATCTCAAACTATATTGCAAAGCAGTAATTATCAAAATAATTTGGTGCAGGTTAAAAAAACAGAGAGATCGATCAGGGGAACAGATTTTCTACATACATACAGAAGCAAATGATACTTATGTCCTAGTATTCAGTAAACACAAAGACCCTAAGGGTCACATGATAAATTAGAAAGACATAGAAAAAATTATCTATCACATCTAGGAATAGAAGAAAAGTTCATGAAAAAGTAAGAATGCAGACTATCAGAGAAGATTAAATGGATTAATTTTGATTACATAAAATTGAAGTTTTTGCACAAAAAAAAACCAATGAAGTAGATTAGAAAGAAAACAATTTATCAGGAAAAATCTTTTCTGCAAGTTCCTCTAATAAAAGTCTCTCACTTCCAAGATATATAAGAAACTAATTCAAACACATAAGAATAAGAGCCATTTCCCAAATGATAAAAGGTCTAAGGATATGAACAAGCAATTATCAAGGGAAGAAACCTAAGCTATCTATAGTCATTTATTTTTTTTAAATACTCCAAATCACTACTAATTAGAGAAATGAAAATTAGAACAATTCTAAGATCCATCAGATTGAAAAGATGGCAATAACAGGAAAATAATAAATGTTGGAGAGGCTATGGAAAAACAACCATATTGGTGCACTATTAAGTGGACTCATGAATGGATACAACTATTCTGGAGAGCACACACACACAAAAATTACTCAACTTTGCTTTTCCCTTTACCCAATTTTGCTACTGTTAGACTTATGATAAAAAAAAAGATAAAGAAATAGGAAAAAGGTGCATAACCATCCATGCCTCCAGAGGACCAATGATGTAGCATACTATCTACCTCCTTACAGGGAGATGAAGGATTTAAGGTGCAAATGAGACCTATAATTTTCTATACAGCCAATGAAGGAATTTGTTTTGCTTGACTATGTATATTTGTTACAAGGAATTTGTTTTTCTTTTATCTTTTTTTAATTGATAGGGTGGGGTGGGAAGAAGAGACAATAAATTTCTGTTCATTAAAAAAAATTAAAAGAGAGGTGAGGTACTTGCTATGATGTGGAATGTTGCATAGCTTTCGTTTGAGGTCACTGTGTTGTTAGTTTTGCTTAATTTTAGTTGCTTTCCTTTGTTAGGACAGGTTGCTTAAGGAATGAGAGTAATCTATGAATATTTGTAATGTAATTTGTAGCATTTGTAATGTAAGAATAAAACAGATCAAGAAAATTTGAAGAAAAAAGGAATATTAATTTAGCAATTGTGTGGAGGATGGGTTGGAAAAGAAAGAGACTCAAGAATTTCTAGGATCACATTCACATAGATATAAATGGATTTTGATTTGCATTTTCTAGGAGCTACCCAAATTGAAAAAAAAATGACAAATCAATCAAAGCATCAAAGTATTGTCATTTACTTAATTACTATTCACTGTGAATATTATTCTTTTGGTTCTGCTTTCTTAGTCGGCATAGTCTTCTCATATTTGTTTATTTTTTATATTTTTCATTTTGTGGCAAATTACCATTTATATAGAACATATTATTAATTTATATTTATAGTATTGTGTATTATTATAATTTATATTATTAATACATTAATATAATATTGATATATTTATATAATATATTCTTATGTGTATTTATATATGTATTTATACATATACACATAAACTATGTACATAATACTATTTATACATATACAATTTACACATAGTATAATATATTTATTTACTAGGATTGATTCAACTATTGTTTCTAGGTTGTTTCTAGATTCTTTTTTTTTCTATTATCAATGCAATCACCAAATCTCAGAGTCAAAAGGTACCTCAGAGGTTATCTAGTCTTAACTCACACCTATGCAAGCATTTCTTCTATAACAGCTCTCAGAAGGTGTTATCCAGCTTTCGCTTAAAGAGCTCTAGAAAAGAGTTTATTTTTGTGTTTGCTTATTTGTTTGTTTGTTTTCCCCCCCAAAAGCAGCCAATTCTACTTTCAGAAAAGTCCAATTTTTAGAGTAATTTCCTTCTATAAAGTCTAAATCTAAGTCTAACTTTCTGAAATACCTATACGTTTTTGGCTAAGAAGAACAAATACAATCTCTCTTCCATGCATTAGCACTACAACTGCTAGGTGGTACAATGGTTAGAGTACTGGCACTGAGTTCAAATCCATCCTCTGATATTTATTTACTTGCTGGGTGACCCTGAAAACCTCACTTAACTTCTGGTTGCCCAATTTCCTCATCTGCAAAATAGGAAGTATTGGTTGTACCTACCTACCGCAGTTTTTGTGAAAATAAAATGAGTTAATATTTGTGAAGTGAATTGCAAATTTTAAAGTGCTACATAAAGTCTGCTATTGCTGCTCCTGCTGCTGCTGCTACTACTGCCACTGCTGCTACTGCTAATTATTTCTACTGCTGCTACTGATGCTTTCTACTACTGCTGTTGT